TGGAACTAGTTAAATAATTTGTGCAGTCTTACAGCTTTAAAGAGATAATTTATATTGGATTAATGTTTTCATCCAAAATATTGATATAAATATTTATGTAAACTGTATAATAGTTGTTTATTGTGGTTCATAAATAAGAGAAGTGCAATAAAAAACAAAATAATAGAAAAAAATTACATTTAACCAATAATTAGAGCGGGCAAGAAGGTCGCTGGTTTAAACCTCGGCTCAGTTGGCATTTCTGTTTGGAGTTTGCATGTTCTCCCTGCCTTTGCGTGGGTTTCCTCCGGGTGCTCCGGTTTCCCCCACAGTCCAAAGACATGCGGTACAGGTGAATTGGGTAGGCTAAATTGTCCGTATGAGTGTGTGTGTGTGTGTGAATGTGTTTCCCAGAGATGGGTTGCGGCTGGAAGGGCATCCACTGCATAAAAAGCTTGCTGGATAAGTTGGTGGTTCATTCCGCTGTGGTGACCCCAGAATAATAAAGGGACTAAGCCAACAAGAAAATGAATGAATGAATGAATAATTAGAGCTTAAACTATTAAGTTATGCTTTATATAATGATGATTTATCTGAAAATTTTAAATAGTCCCAGGATGTGAAATACAGTCAGAAATTGTCATTAATAATGTGCAGTTTTTCATAATGCAAAATTTCACAACTGCACATCTTTATATTTTATTGTTAAAGCAATAACTGCAAGAAAACTGTGTTCAAAGCAAATGCCGCTTGCTCTGATATTTTGTAACATCACGCAAAAAGCAATGCACATATTTTCATGTTTGTCTTTGGTATCCAAATGCATTCTGAGGTCACTCTATATGTTTATGCATGTGCCTCGACTACACTCCCAGTTTTTCCATTACTCAGATTTCCCTGAACAATTGAAGAATATATGAAATCCCATATGAACGGCATTTACACATGGGTGTGCGAGAGGCAGTCTGGAAAGTATTATTTGATCAAATTGTAGAAAAAAAACGTCCTGACATACCTGATATTCTGCTGCTGTAATTATGTTCTACAGTTTCTCACACACATTTTTTTTTTAATCCACACCCTTTAAATGCCTGGTCTTTTCAATCCTCACCCAGACAACACTGACCTCTGAGTTTGTGCAGCTCGTGCGCCCTCTGCTGTCTGTGTTTATGGATGCTGTGCGTGTTCTGTTTGTGTGTTTTTGATGCAGGGAGTGGATCTGCTTAAAGTCATGGAGGCTGGAGATTTCATCTGTAAAGCCTTAAACAGAAAGACCAACTCCAAGGTCAGCCAAGCGACCAGAAACAACTAGAGTTTACATTACAAGAGACAATAAATGCAGTGTGTTTTGTCAAAATAACAAGTTCAGCGCAGCATCAAAATAATCACAGTATATGATATGTGTGTATGTGTGTGTGCGTGAGTGAGTGTTATCATAATAGTTTTCTTAATAAATTCATCATAAATGTATTTATTTATTTAACTGGGGTGTCACGGTGGCCCAGCGAGTAGCACAATCGCCTCGCAGCAAGAAGCTCGCTCGCAAGGTGCTCCGGTTTCCCCCACTGTCCAAATACATCCTCTATAGGTGAATTGAATAAGCAAAATTGGCCGTGGTGTATGAGTGTGTGTGTGTGTGTGTGTGTGTGTGTGTGTGTGTGTGTGTGTGAGTGTACATGGTTGTTTTCCAGTGTTGGGTTGCAGCTGGAAGGGCATCCGCTGCGTAAAACATGTGCTGGACAAGTCGGCGGTTCATTCCGCTGTGATGACCCCTGATTAATAAAGGGACTAAGCCGAAAACAAAATGATTTATTTATTTATTTATTATTATGTTTGTTTATTAATTTATTTTTATTATTAATTTATTTTGTTATCTGTTATTTTTTATAATTTATTTTTATTTTTTTTATTATTTATTTATTTATTTATTTACTTGTTTTAAATTTGTATTATTTATTTATTATTTATGTATTATTTTTATTTATTTTATTATTATTGTTATTTGTTTGATTAATTATTTAATTTTATCATTATTTATTTATATTTTTAAATTTTATTTATTAATTAATTTATTTTATTATCTATTTTTATAATTTATTTGTTTATTTATATTTATTTATTTTAATATTATTATTTTGTTTATTAAGTAGTAAATTGTATTTATGTATTCATTTTACTATCTATTATTTTTATCATTTATTTATTTTTGTTCAATTTTTTTATTATTTATTTTTACATATTTTATATATATATATATATATATATATATATATATATATATATATATATATATATATATATATATATATATATATATATATATGTATATATTAGTTTATTTATTTATTTTATTATTTATTTATTTATTGAGATTTATACATAATGTCATAGCTAATTAATTAAGCTTTGCATTAAAGTTTGTTAGCATAAATCAAAATACAGTCGAGAGGCAACTATTTGAAAATCTGGAAAATAATAAATAAATATATAAAAAATAAATCAAAACACTGAAAAAAATCACCATTAAATGTTCACTTAAGTTCTTAGCAATGCATATCACTTATAAAATAGCTTCTGATACATTTATGATATGAAATGAATAAAGTGTCATCTTAAAACATGATCTTTATTTGATATTGTAATGATTTTTGGCATAATTCTTCTTTTTTGGGGTGTTTTATTTGACACACAATGCATTTTTGGCTGTTCCTACAAATAAACCGGTGCAACATAAGACTGGTTTGTGCTCCAGGGTCACACATGCACACACACATCATAGTTTTGATGAGCTATACCACAATATTCTGCTTCCGTATTTCACTTCAGATCAAAAATGTTATTTAAAAAATGTCTTTTGTCCAACGTGTTGCCTAATCTGCAGTGTTATCTAAGGATGTGTAATACATGTTACATGTGTGTATGTGTTCAACTGCAAATTTCATGAGCATTTCAAAGATTATAAGAGAAAGTTTCTAGCATGAATACCGTGATCACCTTGAACCCCGTAAAGATGTCTCTTTTGATATCAGTCTTCATGACTAATAGCGTGCCAAATTATCACCAACTGGAAAAAATATTAGAGTAATTTTTAGTAAATACTATAGTGTTTTTTGAGCCATACTTTTGCCGTGTATTAAAGCCTAATGTGTATAGTTTACAAAAGTTCAGATGCAAAAACATCTAGATGCTGTCTGAAATGTTCTCTGAAAATTTGTGAATTCATAAATGCATCACATTAATGGCAAAATAATTTATTTTCATGGTCTTTAAAGTGATATAACTCAACATAAACATAGAAGGAAGAGAAAAAAACTCATTATCAATACATATTTCAGATGGCACTTAGAGGTTTTTGCATCTTAGGGAGTCCAAACTCGGTCCTGGAGGGCCGGTGTCCTGCAAAGTTTAGTTCCAACCCCAATCAGACACTCCTGGGCGACCTAATCAAGGCTTTGGAAACATCCTGCAGGTGTGTTGAGGCAAGTTGGAGCTAAAATCTGCAGGACACAGGCCCTCCCTGAGTTTGGACACCCCTTTCAAATCTTTGTTAATAAATAATTCAAATATTTAATTGATACGGTAGTATACGTGTTTGCACTTTTGTATACCATACTATAACTTAGTCCAGTATAAACAATGTGTTTTACTACTAGTTGTATTACCATTGAAACTACAGAATTACCACAGCAGATTAATTCAAGTACTTTACAATAGATTTGGCTCAAATTTCAATAGTATTTGCTACTAATCTCGGTAACACTTTAGTTTAAGTATCAATTCACACCATTTACACAATACTTAAACCCAACTACTACCTTGCTAACTATAAATAAGCAGCTAATCCATAGTTTATTGAGCTAAAAGTCTTAGTTATTAGCGTGAATTGTACATTACAATAAAGCGTGACCGTAAGGTACATCAGGTGGGCAGTTAGCTCGCAGCGCCATCTGTTGGTGAAAACAGTTACTGCCTTTTTGCTCTGTAAGCCAGCAGTTGTTTTGCACTGTATTAACGGGATGTTTGTAAAACGGGAATATTTCTGGTGACAGGACACCAAAAACTGACAGTCTCATCAGATAAATGTGACATCTGTGTACCGTGAGCTTAAATAATCATCAATGTTTTACTGACGGATATCCGAGTGGCCTGAAGGCGAGTAACAACTGTCGTGTTTGCATGAAGTGTGTGTGTGTGTGTTTGTTATTGTGTGCACTGCAGCCATATGAGCCTTACACTGCTAGTCAGAACTATAAAATGTATTTTATTAATAAGCAGGGTTAATCATTCGAGAATTAACAATGTCTAATGTCTTCCCAGCATGACAAAAATACTACTATTAATATATATTAAATGCTATGGTGTTTTTGAACGATGCTAAGTAGCTAATATTAAAGAAAATCATTGATTGAACATTATAAAGTAATAAGCCATAGATATATACACTCATTATATATATATATATATATATATATATATATATATATATATATATATATATATATATATATATATATATATATATATATATATTCGTATATCATTCATTTCAAAGGAGCGCTACCCTGTACCAAGATGGCGGCGCTATTGACGCATTCCGTCCAATAGACAACAATAAGCCAGGCGACATCTAATGTATATATCTATGGTAATAAGCAAGTTTACAAGGTATAGTTAGGCTATACCAACATTACATTGTAAAAAGCATATATGTTAATGAATAGCTTACTTATTTTGTGATTCACAAGTATTTATTTATGGCTGTGAATTGCATTATGGGATGTTGATCTCTGCTCTGTAGACTGTAGCTGTTGACAATTCAACTACAGTTTAACAAAATGACTTTTATTGACATATTAGTAGTTTGGGGTATAAGAAAATAGCTAATAAAGAGAGAAATTAGTCTGTAAAATAACAGCTATATAGCTGAAAAATCCAGCTTAAACCAGCCTAAGATGGTTGGCTGGTTTTAGCTGGTCGACCAGCCTAGTTTTCGAGGGGTTTTAGCCACTTCCAGGCTGGTTTCCAGTCATTTCCAGCCTGGTTTTAGCTGGACAGGCTGGAAGATGACCAGCTAAAACCAGCTTGACTAGGACTGGGAGCCAGCTATGTCCAACTTAAAGCAGGATGATCAAGCTGGTTTTAGATGGGTTTAGCTGGTCATTTTCCAGCTAAGACAAGTATGCCTATAATATAGTTAATACTACAGTATGCTGTAGCATTCATTAACACATTGTTGTTAATATATTAGCTACTACAGTGTAGTTTAAAAACACTATAACATAAGTATTTTTCCATGTGGGTTATTTCCGTCTGTGTACTAAATTGCTAACTGCCGTCTTTCTACTAACATGAAATATATTTACCAAAATCCTTTTCATACTATATTTAACCTGCCTTAATAATATTACTATCCGTCATGCCTTCTCAGTGAAGATTATGTGTTTACATGATATGTAATGTGATGAATAAACATTGTTTATTGAGCTTTAAACTCCTTGACGCTGACCTGTGTGTGTTTCTTCAGCTCTAGTTTAAATACAGGTGTGTTGTGGTCTAGTTTTACTCACTCTTCTCCATTTGCCTTGTTTATATGGTTCTCTCATTGTTTCAGGTGAGTGTTAAACCGGCCTGTGTTTGAGCAGGTAACAGATATTCAGCTCTTTTCACTCTCGGTGAAAGCAAACAGATGGACTCAAGCCTTTATTACAGCCTGACCTGACCCCGGCGATTCATCAACAAAGAGCAGGTCAACCCTATTATAGATTGCATTGACATAGCAAAATAATGTGTAAATTTAATTTGTTTTCTGCCGCCTTCCATTGTTCTCTTTGTGTTTCACCTGGCCGTATATTGCAGGCATTTGCAGTCAATACCACTTTATTAATCTCTATATGAGACAATGCAGTTTCAGGCACACAGAGTTAATTGAACAAACACCCAGAGTCAGGTGAAACCCTGAGATGATAATGCTGAATACACAGAAGTAGAGAAATAACTGGTGTATGTTTATAGAAAAACATACTGCATTTTTAAAGATATTTATAATATTTTGGATTGTTTTTTTGCAGGCATATGCTGAAGTATGAAAGCTGTTTTATTATTCAAAACCAGGTATATTTTTGACCATAGTATATTTATTCTGACCATAATACAGGTTGTGGTTCTATTAATTGTTATGCATTTTGTTTAGTAAATAACATATAACTGCATTATCCAATGCAATTTTGATTCTCAATTGAATTTGTATTAATTTAGGGCTATTTAGATATTTGTACAGGTAAACAGAGTAAAATATTGATGTAAATTGATGCTGTGGTGCAAAGGTGCAACCATTAATAGAAGCATCGAGATGATAACCATAACTATAATTAGACAATTAGGAACAAATAAAATGATGATTATAAAAATATTGTATTATAATCATATTTAAATAAATAATTAACATAATCATTATAAGTATTATATTATAATTATTCATTTAATAAAGAAATAAATCATAAAAAAAATAGATAATAAAATAAATCGTAAAATAATTAAACTAACAAACCAACAAACAAATAATAATAATAAAATAAAAAATAAATAGTAAATAAATAATACATAAATAATACAAATTTAAGATAAGTAAATAAATAAATAAATAATAAAAATAACAGATATTAAAAATAAATAATTAATAAAAGTAATTAATAAACAAACAAACAATAAATAAATAAATAAATAAATACATTCATTTTCTTTTCGGCTTAGTCCCTTTATTAATCTGGGGTCGCCACAGCGGAATGAACCGCCAACTTATCCAGCATATATTTTATGCAGCGAATGGCCTTCCAGCTGCAACCCATCACTGGGAAACACCCATACACTCTCATTCACACACACACTCATACAAGGCTAATTTAGCTTACCCGATTCACCAATATAGAGCATGTGTTTGGACTTGTGGGGAAACCTGAAGCACTCGGAGGAAACCCACACGAACTCGGGGAGAACATGCAAACTCCACACAGAAATGCCAACTGACCAAGACAGGGCTTGAAACAGCGACCTTCTTGCTTTGAAGCGACAGCGCTACCCACTGCTCCACTGTGTCACCCTATATATATATATATACTGTATATATAATAATGTTTTTTTTTTCAATACATTAAATTTACAGACTTAAAACGTTTCACCAACGCAACTAATTAAACATATCAACAATTTATCAATTAAAGTCATGATCAGAACATGTTTAAAAAGATGATAGGTTTCATATTTCCCACATTCATAGTGTCTCATGCTGGGTTTTCATAATCCAACGTTTGATCAAATATTGACATGTTAATATTTTAATACATGTTATTGACCCTTAATATAAGACGTAAATAAGCATATTTATTCAATATAGGGTGTACACTGTGAATGTTATGACCAATTTATATTGCAAATTTCCTCGCACCCTGCACACTGTGTGCTATCATGAAATCTACAAGAGCGCATGCATGAGCGTTTGCTGCATCATGGGTGTGACATTAAAAACTCCAAACATAAATTTACAGATATGTTAACATTACATTGACACATCTGCTTATATTGTCCAAAACAGCTAACCAAAGACATGTGAGATCAGAAAAATATCAATCTGCAAACATATTTTAGATTTTTAATGAGGAAAAACAAACATGCATTGTGAATGTGACCAAAAAAGTTCAACATACTTAGTAGAAATCCTGTGAGATAAACTGCACAATCCAAAAGAAACAGTGCTAATCGAAAGGATGAGAGTTATGTGTAGTTCAGATTTTAGCCCCGATTTTGGCTCACCGACAGGTTTTGAGAAATCGCCGACAAATGCCTGAGTTCACAGGCAAATCGGTGCTCGTGCACGTGAGTGACAATCACACAGTATGAACGATCAGACATGATCTGAGAGAATCGCCGATGAGTCGCCGCTGCCTGCGAGATATTTGGCGTGCTGAATATCTGGAGCTGTCGGCGATTCAAATCATGCTGTGTGAATTGAGTTCTGACTGAAAATAACATCAGCGATCGCCTACAGACAATGAGAGAGCGGCATTCACTTGTGTGTGTGTGTGTGTGTATACACCTGCTGCAGGCCAGTGGGAGGCTGAGGGAGAAGGTAAAACCGCTAATTTTCGGTTTATTCGGACCCACGAAATGGAGGAAAAACTAGTGGACTCAGGAGCAACCGTGTCTGTTTGACGTTTCATACAGAAATAAATTAGTTTATTATCAACGTTGAGAAGAAATGGCTAATTCCCTTTAAACCCAGGTGAGCAAACATGTACATGTTCTACCCCATTAAAGGCTTCTTTCTCATTATGTAGTTAATAACAAAAGATATACGAAGTGTTTTTGGCTGTGGGATGTAGTTTGGACGAAGTTGTCGGCGATTCTTCCTATAGTAAAGTCATGCAATGTGAAAGTCCCTGTCGCCGATCCATCTTGCAGTGTAAACAAAGCAGCGACGAAACGCAAGCCAGATAGACATGCAGTGTGAAAACATCTGTGACACGACTACTTTGAAAATCATGCAGTCTGAACTCGGCATTACGTTTTATAGAACAAACATGATTGATTTTATTTTATTTTGCATTCATAAGGCACAAAGCTTTGTTGTGAATGTGTCAGATGTAAAATCGGCAATTGTGGGACTTTAGTAAATCCAATATAATTGTTTAAAAACACTGACAGAGACATTTTTGAGTATATTTACACTACTGTAAAATACAAGCCTACAGAAAACACTTAGAAAAGGTTTCGATATTTTGATGAAAACGTAATTTTTTCCACGGCAAGGTTAACATTTGCATGGAGTTGCTCATGCTATAAACAGCATAACACGTGAAAAGTGTAATCGTAACCATTATTAACCCCGGTGGGATAGAAGTTTAAGCAGGAGGATTTAGACATCCTCCTTAGTGAAATGTTTCATTCATGTGTTTAGTGATGTTTGTAATGGTGATTTAGCGTGCTCCTGACGCCGGGCTTCAGGAAACACTTCATTAGACTTTAAAACATCTGGATGAAGGTGTTGAGCGCTGGAATGAAGACAAGACAGACTGATGAACCGTAATGAACATCAGATGCGCTGAAAAGCACATGTAAGACCTTTGCTCATGCACTGAAAAAAATAGTCATTGGATTTACAATTTTTTTTAAGGTAAGTGGTTGCAAACAGGGCTGAATTTAAACAATATAGGTTCAGTTTCACAAACAAGGCTTAGCTTAAATCAGGAGTAGGACTTAAATTAGCGTATTAAAGCCACTTTTATAAAAAATTCCTGTAAAAAAAACACATTATTGGTGTGAATTCTGCAGACACTAATGTATTTTAAGGTATCTAATCGCAAGTTACTTTCAGTTAAGACAGCTTAAACATGCAATTTAATCTAAGACTAGCCTTAAGCATTGTCTGTGCAACCTAAGGTGAATGTAGTAATGTTCAACTATGTTTGCTTGTTTAAATTCCGCCCATGACTATTGTTTGCAAGCACTTACCATAAAAAAATTAGTAAATCCAATGAATCATTTTCTCCAGTGTGCTGGATATTCATCTCAAAGCTAAAAACGTGAGAGACTCTGATTGCTCATTACCACTTTTATTGTTTACATCCTGAATCACAATTAGATTAGTACATTGCACAACATACAGTAGTCCACATTGTAAGGTATTGTGCAACACAAAATACAACCAGTACACTGAATAGAATGATTCAATGGACTTATACTCAATTTATTTTAAAGGTAAGTGGTTGCAAACAGCCTAACATAATAAGTTAAACAATACTAAATTTAATTTGTTTGTTTAAATTCAGCCCGTATGAAGCATTTGCACCACTTTCCTTAACAAAATAGAGTAAATCGGATGAATCTTTTCAGTGATTAAAGAAAAAATACAAAAGTAGTAAACAATTATCTGCTTTAATGCATGTTGCTTATTTTACTTTCAATTATTATTTGAAACTCGTTGCTCTTTCAAACGTCTTTAAATCACAATAAAGCTTATTTTGGACTCTCTTCTAAAGCACAGTGTAAAAATAAAATCTGCCTTTTTTCTCTTGTAAAACAGTTTAAATCTCACAAATCTTGCTTTCCCACTACTGCAGCCAAATTCAGTATATTTACCCTGTGTAATGCTTTTCTAAGTTATATATGTTATGTCTTATTTTTAGTGCAAATATCTGAAATTTATATATTTATTTATTTTTTATTTTTATTTATAAATGTATTATTTATTTATATTTATTATTTATTTATTTAATTTATCTGGACAAGCATAAAATATTGTCTTGTTTTAACAAAAAAATGCATCAAAATGAAGTCAGTTTTTCCTTAAGACAATAATCTGCCATGGGGTAGACAAAATAATCATGTTTTTCATTTTGGCATAATATTATTTTGCTTACCTCATTGACAGATTTTGTGCTTTTTGATTTAAGAGTTGTTAGATATTTGGACTAGAAATAAAACAAAAAATCTATATATAAAAAATCTAAAATTTAAGTGACTTTTTCCCCCCTCAGAATTCTGAGCTTACATCTTTCAATTCAGGCACTTTGCAATTATTTTCATCAGATCTTTTATTAGATTGCAATTTTGGGTTTGAATCATGCTTACAATTTATAAGTTGAAACATTCTAAGGGGAAAAGTCGTAACTGCAAGATATGAACAGTTCTAGGAACAAATAAAGATTGATCAAATGTATTATTTATAGTCACATTTATTATAACATTTATTTGGGGGTGTTAATGCACAAAGGGGCAGCATACTGCATAATATTAACGCACAATTAAAATTTGAGAACTAACTAAAATATGATTCTGGACCACAAAACTAATATGTCAAAATTAAGTAAATTCTTCCTTAAAACAAGCAAAATAATCAGGTAAGCAAAATTATGTCAAAAAAATTAATTTTTTTTTTTTGCTTACCCTATTGACAGATGGAAGGTTAAACTCATTTAATTATGACATAGTATTTATTAAATTGAAACAATATGTTTTGCTTGTGAAGAAGTTGCTTCTTTATTTAAGAATTAATATTAAGATATTTGGACTAGCAACATATTTTTGCAGTGTACATCACATAAAAGTTGAATAAACAAGCTTTCCACTGATGCATGGTTTGTTAGGATGGACAATATTTAAATATTGAATATTTATTCAAATTAAAATTTGAAATTGGAGGGAGAAAATAACCTTTAAAGCTCTCTAGATAAAGTTCTCAGCAAAGCACATTACTAAAAATAAGAGTAAAATAAAAAAATTATATATTTAAAGTATAAAAAAAATAAATAAAAAAAAACAAGAAAAAAAAGATACAATAAATATTGAACACAATGTTTACATAATATTCTATTAATTTTTGGCATTAAACAAAAAAATCCCTAATTATACAATGGGTTTTGTGGTCCAGATTCATAAATGTGCAAATCAGAAATGTCTTTGATGAAGCCAGAGTTTTATCAAATGGCTCAAATAATGACCGATGACAACATCATCAGAGACTTTGACTGCTGGTCCTCGAACGTTGGTTTACCAGCAGCCTGGTGAATCCTCCTAAAAGCATGTCAAACAGAAAACAATTGCTCATTATGTAATAATCAAAAACTAAAATCTGCATTATTTGGTGTGAATTAAACCAGTGTTTCTCAACCACGTTCCTGGAGGAGCACCAGCTCTGCACGTTTACCATGTATCCTTCACAAAACCCACTAGATTCAGATCAGAGCTGTAATGGGTGTGACAGACAAAGCAGACATGCAAAACATGCAGTGTGGCTGATCCTCCGTGTACATGGTTGAGAAACACTCCATTAAAACACCGATAACTCACCTTACTCTGTGTAAAACAAGGCTGACTATAAACAAAACCAGCACCATTAATGCAGAGATGTATATCAGGAGGTACAGCAGCTGATCTGGGATAAAAACGATAATTTGTTTAATTACAGCAGATGACAAAACACTCAAAACATTACATTACTTATCTTAATTGAGCTGAAACAACACAATTCTTGAGGTTTTCTTTGCGACAACTTAATTGCTTTATGTTCAGTCCACTTTCTATTAGGGGACTTAATTCATTAATGTTTCCCCAACACTAATTGATTAGGTTAACATAATTGTTTAGACAAATTTAAGTGGACTGAACATAAAACAATTGAGTTGTCCACCTAAAAACCTCAAGATTTGTGTTGTTTCAGCTCATTTTAGATAGGTAGTTTGAACAAGCATCCATAATCATTTTACGTTCAAGCTAAAAATCCCACATTTCGATGAATGGACTCACCACTCAACAGCTTCTGCTGGACGTGTGATTCATTGGTTGCTTGCTGTCCGTTGCTTGAGTCATTGGACTGTCCATGTATGAGATTTGCTCCATCTATCCGTTGCTGATCAGGGCTCGGTTCATTGCTAGGTTGTTGTTGTGTGTTTGGTTCATGAGGTTTTCCATGTAGTAAACTGTCTTTTCTCCTTGAGCGCTCTATGATTTATCACAGTGAACACATTAATCACAATGAGAATATTCCAGCAATAACACAAGCAGAAATCAAACACACAGATGTTAAAGTCTGTGTGAAATCAAAGATTATGTTGTGTTTATTTTGCTAGCTCACATTGCTAGATTTAAAGGGAACAATGAATCCGTGCAAGTTGGTTGGTAATCTACAATCTTTAGTGTGAGCATCTGCTTCTGGATTGGCTCTTATTCTGTTGACGTCAGTTTGACACAGCCACAGTATTATTAACCACACTCTTCTTACTGTTCGTTTGCTATCAGGGAATGATGCGCATAAAAGTAAGCCCCGCCCTCTACTTATCATTATGTTACAATTGTGAGTAAATCAACATACTGAAACAAAAGCCTCAGCAACTTCTGTTTCATGCAGACTTTAAAAACACAATGAAATGGAAGTTAACTAAAGGACTGATTGCGCCTCCCTAAAGGAATGAGTCCCGACCTAAAGGAATGATAGTCCCGGCCCAAAGGACTGATAGCCCAGCACTAAAGGAATGACAGTCCCATTCTAAAGGACTGATAGTCCCGCCTTACAAAACTGATAGCTTCACCCTAAAGGACTGATAGTCCCGCCTTAAAGGACTGATAGCCCCTCCCTAAATACTAATAGGCCCGACCTATAAGAATGACAGTCCCGTCCTAATGGAATGATAGTCCCGCTCTAAAGGAATAATAGTCCCACCCTAAAGGACTGATAGCCCCTCCCTAAATACTGATAGCCCCTCCCTAAAGGAATGAAGGCTCGCCCTAAAGGAATGATAGCCCCTCCCTAAATACTTATAGCCCTGACCCTAAAGGACTGACAGTCCCGCCCTACAGAACTGATAGTCCCACCCTAATGGAATGATCACCCCGTCCTAAAGGACTGATAGCCCCACCCTAAAGCAATGATATTCCCTCCTTAAAAGACTGATAGCCCCACCCTAAAGCAATGATATTCCCTCCTTAAATGACTGATAGCCCCTCCCTAAATACTGATGGCCCTGCCCTAAAGGAATGACAGTCTCGTTCTAATGGAATGACAGTCTCGCCCTAAAGAAATGATTGTCCCGCCTTAAAGGAATGACAGCCCCACCCTAGAGCAATGATAGTCCCACCCTAAAGGACTGATAGTCCCGCCCTAAAGTACTGATAGACCCTCCCTAAATACTGATAGCCCCGCCCTAAAGGATTGACAGTATCATCCTATTGGAATGATAGTCCCGCCCTAAAGGAATGATAGTTCCGCCCTAAAGGAATGATAGTCCTACCCTAAAAGACTGATAGCCCCGCCCTAAATGACTAATAGTCCTGCCCTAAAGGACTGATAGCCCTGCCTAAAGGACTAATAGTCCCACCTTAAATGACTGATAGCCTCACCCTAACTGACTGATAGCCCCACCCTAAAGGACTAATAACCTCACCCTAAATGACTGATAGCCCCACCCTAAAGGACTAGTAACCCCACCCTAAATGACAGATAGCCCCACCCTAAATGACTGATAGCCCCGCCCGAAAAGACTAATAGTCCCACCCTAAATAACTGATAGCCCCGCCCTAAAGGCATTTCATGTGACCAGAAGTTAAGAAAACTCTTTTCGAGTGGGAGGAAAGGTTATGGTGTTTGATTAAAAATGGAGGCAAATTCATTTTTTCAAAATAATTGTATAAAGGAGCACAGACACATTGTTTATAACAAGCAGTATTATATTTACACTTATAAAAACAATAATAGTACATTTTGATTTCATTCCAACTTTAAGCTAGCCAAAAACAATCCAAAAGTACTCACTGAAGAGGGACTTGTCTTGGAAAATTAGCTTCAGCTCATCACACTTATATTGGTGATGATGATGCAGTCCGGCACACGTGCATGGGTGATGCAGTACTGAACCCACTGTTTCCACAAATGCTGCCCTGCATTCGACGTCCTCCCCAAGAAAGAAGTCTGGGTCTAGGAGATACAGCCAGTCACTGGTGGAATCAAATGCAGATTCCTCCGCCTCAAAGCATTTGGACAGGAACCCGTCAAACACCTGCCTGTGAATAATAATCATAATAAAACAGCTGGTTTTAAACAGCAGCACCTTGGGAAGAATAAACTCTCTGGCTGGCATGGATTTATTCAAAGCATGTTTAATTTGATACGACAGTTCTTATTATAATCTCGACTCCTGAAAGAATGCGTTATGTAAATAATAGAGATGCATGTTGCTCATTACAGAATGCATCTAAAGGATTTTCCATTCATTTTCCTTAAAGTGGATTGATATACAACACATGTATAATTCAAGTGAATTAAAATACTTTAATATGATAGCGAACATTTGATTATGACTGTATTTGTTGTTTAAATCAGGGGTTCCCAAACTTTTCAGCCCGCGACCCCGAAAACAATAATGCCATTGACTCGTGACCTCCACATTCCTTGGAGGTGGTTATAAATAGGGCTGTGCGATTAATCCAAATCGAATCTCAATCGCGATTTAAAACGTTGCGATTAGCTAATATGGCACATTATTCAACTTCCCTCACTCAGAGCAAATGCATGACTGCCGTCCACTGGCAATTCTGGCAAATTCCAGAAGGGCCGGACCAATTTTTAAATGTGGGCCGGTCAGTTTATGTTTTTTTAATATGTTTTTAATATGTTTTTAAGTGCAGACAGCTTTTATGTTTGCTAGATGTGATGTTATGATGATCGTAATAAATAGTAATAAATGTTAAACATTTGGCCCAATCGGCAACTGCCTCCTGGTTTTAAGATGGGCCGACCCAATCCGAGATTACCCGGACGTAATCAAAATCTGGCAAGAATATCATATTATTTCACCATCTGTACACCAAAATAACTAGTGAATGTGCGTGTCCGTGGGTTGGGCTGTGTGGTAATGTGGGCTGGTGTGGCTACAGTGCCAGGGCTGAATTTTTGTCCCAGTCAGGCCCTGCTGCCGTCTGTGTGTGTCTTACTAGCCAAATGAGTGAGCACACTTTCCTTCTGAAAAAACTGAAGCCTAAAGGCAAATAACAAACTGGCCAGCACATTCATCTCTTATCAGAGATGGCCACTTGAATAATAAAAATAATTCAAACAAAATATAATAATATTAATAATAATAATATGCCTGTGGATTCACTGCCCGTTTCCGGCCTGTGTCAAGCGGGTCACATGCGGCGGCCGTAAGCGAGCCGACGCTGCCGCATCCGAGCCAAAATCGGGCCCGCGAGTAATGTGCTCTGCACAGTCTCTGGCGCGACTCAGTCTTCATATACCCTCAAATAAAACCTTTTGGTATTACACGGGTACTTACAACCATTTGAGTTGATATAACAGCAAACGCAGTCTATAATGTAAACAAAGCATAGGCACTGCGTTTAACCTTTCAATAAAATGCAAACAGCACATATCCTATAACAAAAACAATCAAACAAAGGACAAAATGAATAATAATAAACGTATATTGATTGCAAGAAACAAACAATACCAAAAATGAACAAATTATTTTGTAGTGCACAAGAACGTCAATATACAAACAATAAACCTGACCTCCTTGCTTGTTTGGATCGGATTTTTGTCTGTCTGTTCTTCATCGTCCACTGCATCACTTGCTCTTTTTCCTCACCCTTATTATTAATATCACAACTATTTGGCCGTTTAAAGAAACCTCTCACACTCAGCTGCTGTGACATTTTGCAACTGTACACATCGGTGACAAACATAGATATATACACTAGATATCGCATAGGGACCCTAAGCATGCGTCAATAGCGCCGCCACATTGGTACAGTGCTCCCAGGACAAATGTCATTCAACCGCACTAGTCAAGACAGTGTTATTACATGAAGATGCGGGACTTTAGTGCTGTCTACGGGTGTAGTAACGAGCAAACATAGAAAACAAAGCACAAAGGCAGAACATTTCATGGGTAATATTAAGTTTTTTTCTGTTTTTGTATGTTCTGAACTTTTGTGCTAATCAGGTCACGTTATTGATGATAACAGTCACTTACTGCATTCACCATACGGCAAAGCAGCTCCAACTCGCACCAAACACTCGGCTTATGCTAGTTTTGTTGAATAAAATCAGCAAACAATGCAAAAGAAATATGACAACGAGATGCTGCGCTGCCAGAAACTTGTGTTATTGCCGGCTAACGTTAGTGAAAGAGTCGTTCGGGGGATTCATTTACAAACGAATCGCTCCCTCCGTCAGTATGAGAAGTGAAAGCAGGAGAGGAGCTGTGTTCAGGACATGATTAGATCAGATTTAACAGGGAGGGTGAATAGTACATTTCTGTACACACAAACACAAGCTTTTTGTCAGGAATGCCCGTGCGGTCACTGATCCATCAATGTAGAAAAGTGATGTAAAATTATAAGTTTCGTAATTAGAAAAAAAAAATTACACACTAACATCCAGGAAAACTCCCGATCACAGATATATGTGTATATGTGTATATCTCTGGCTTTGGATGGCCACAGTCCTCCACTGTACCTTGGTCCCGCATTCATTTCAAAGGAGCGCTACCCTGTACCAAGATGGCGGCGCTATTGACGCATTCCGTCCAATAGACAACAATAGGCCAGGCGACATCTAATGTATATATCTATGGGTGACAAAGAGGAAACAAAACAAGGGCAATCGCCATCATCTGGACAGGAGTGGGAATTACAGTTAGCTACAAATTACAATAGATCCCCCTCAGCATAATCAGTCAAAATGATGGATCACCTTCAGATTTTTCCGTCACTGCTGGAAAAAATCTGTCAATGACAGAAAATATTCGGTTAACGCGACCTTCAGTTAATGCGACCTCTGATATATATATATATATATAAATGGTTCCCACCAATGTCCAGTGCAAACCGATGCCCTTGCTAAAATGTCAACTAAAAGTACTGCCAGTGACACTCAATCTATTATCAAGCAACAGCAAAGTACAATTTCAGAGTTGTTTGCTAATATAAGTATAACCAACACAATCTCACGGCAATTCGTAACTTTTTCATTTAGTGGCTAATTCGTATGAATTCGTACGATCTAATTCGTACAATTTAGTACGATTTGCTTATCCCCCAATGACGGTTGGGGTTAGGGGTGGGGTTAGGTGTAACGCCTCCTTTTTAAAATCGTATCATTTCTTACGAATGAAATCGTACGAATTCGTACGAATTAGCCACTAAACTGGCAAAACGTAAAATACTTATGTTTTCTCGTGAGATCAGGCTGGTATAACGGTCTGCAGCATCATCTAGTTAGTACGGAGCCGTTTTGACAGGAGCAGTGATGTTCATGACGCGTCCAAGCATTTATATCTCAAAATTAACATTATTTTTCTTACAAATGCTACAAACAAACACGGCCAAAAAACTGTTTCCCCACTACTACTGCCAGCCGATCACCCATCACCTGTGAGCCCTTACTTAAGCAGGTGAGCTGACGTGACGTATAGGTAGAGTCAATCTATATCACTAAACCACTCGATCAGTGACACAGAATAATACTTTATAATATTATTAATCTTATTCAATCCTTCAACAAATAAACAAATAAAATATAAATTTATATAAATATCACAAATGGCTCCAACAATAAGGTAATATCTTTTAAATTCCTTTTTTTTAGCACTCACTGCATTTTAGCAGTAAGAAGCTCCAATACAGAATATTGAATTATTGACTTGACTACAAATTTAATTTGCAAATCAAATCGAAATCGCAATCTGTCAACAAAAAAAATTAAAATAAATCACAATTAGATTTTTTTTCCCCAAATCGCACAGAAAATAAATACATAAATGCATATACAAATGTTACACACACAACAATACGCTTATATAAACACAAGCATATTGACAACACAAAAAAGTGCCACAGTCTAACAACCATATTAAATTCGGTTGCGCTGGTCTAAAAAAATAGCAGCAAATCGTGCCAAACACGTCTTGCGCCTAATTGCACCGGGTGTATGATAGTGTCCATTAACTTGTTTTTAAGATCCCCTGAAGTAACTTGAAATCTGCAGCTTTGTTGATATGTGACATCATTGATTAGCTCCTCCCCCTTTTTAAAAAGAGCCAATAGCATCACAGTCTAGTAATTTACCAAGTCAAGTACTGGACTGTCATCTGAGGCTTGTGGACCCTGCTGTACTATACTGCTCAGTGGAAACGAGCCAGTTCTTAGAATTTTTGTGTGCGGTTTTTGCTATAAGTTTTCAGTTCTAACCTGCACGAAGCATCCTCAAAGCAGCTGTCCAGCGCTTCCAAACAGGTCCAGGGTGTCTGCGTCTGCTCGCTCACACAGGATCCGTAGTGGATAAGAGCCTTCATCTCCTGGCATTGCTGGTCTTGTGCACCACATTCACAGAACACCAGTGTTTCAGCCACACTGTGAGGAAGAGCCGAGTAGAACTGCCGTATCGCCTCTGTGCACTGATTACATGAGGAAGCCTTGCACTCCTGGAGAAGCGGCACCATGGGCCTGTTACAGCTCTCCTCTCCAAGACAAGCTGCAATCTCTTCAAGACAAGGTCTGTCTGCGTGGAGTGCTGGAAGGACGGAGTACAATGACGGATCACAACATGCTCACAATTAAAGATGATGTAAAGTGCTTTTAATTGTGCGTTTTTGACATAGTCTTAACTGAAATAGGAAGAGAGGGCGGGGCATACCCAATTTTCCTCCCCCCTCCCCCCCTTTTTTGGCTATGCAACCACACATAGGCTGCGCCGCATACGCGTGCACTTGATGCAGAAGTATAAATCAGCCTATAGGAGTAGGGGGTATAAAACAGAAATGGGATCAGGCCTTACCGTGTGCTTTGTGATCACTGGCTTCAAGATGTTTGTTTTTTAGAGCTGGAAAGCAAGGGACAGTCCACAAAAACAAAAAGAAATCTGTCAGGATTCATTTTGATCCTCAAAATCCATTTTGCTAAACCTTCTTCTGTTCTTCTGAATTAAAGAAATGCCAAATTGATGCATCACAAGTGGTACATTTAGGTTGTTTCTTTGAAGAGGAACTCTGACTATAAATAAAAAAGCCCTGCTGTCTGCTTTTATGATACTTTTATTCATTTGTCTTGGACTTAGTGCATTTATTCATCCGGGGTCACCACAGCGGAATGAACCGCCAACTTATCCAGCATATGTTTTACACAGCTGATGCCCTTCCAGCTGCTAGCCAGTAATGGGACTCAGCCATACACACTTATTCACGCACATACACCTAAATTCGCCTAAAGTGCACGTGTTTGGACCAGAGGCGTTGCTAGACATAAAGCTCTATTAGGGCTTATATATATATATATATATGCAAAACAACTTATATATATATGCACAAAAATATTTAAATAAATTTGAAATATTTAAATAAAAAGTTTTATTGTTATACAATATATATATATATATATATATATATATATATATACAGTTGAAGTCAGAATTATTAGCCCCCTTTTGATTTTTTCGATTCTTTTTTAAATATTTCCCAAATGATAATTGACAGAGTAAGGACTTTTTCACAGGATGTCTGATAATATTTTTTCTTCTAGAAAAAGTCTTATTTGTTTTATTTCGGCTAGAATAAAAGCAGTTTTGAATTTTTTAAAAACTATTTTTGATAACAACACACATTATTGAATATAGACCTATGTGTGCGTTTCCCAATAGAAAATACATTTGCTTTTACAGTTGTAAAAGTTTTAAGAGTGGGGTCTAAATGATGTGTTTCATGTCGTAGAATAAACGTGAAAGTATAATGAGTTTGTGTTAACCATGGACATTATTTAAGCAATTTCAGCTAAATCCCATTCAAAAAACCCATTGACCCTGGGACAATGGAAGTGCTAACTCGCATCCGGGTTTCTGCATACAAATTGACATCATAGTTCCACTGTATTTAGGCCTATTGTGTAATAAATAAATAAAACACTACACTAATAAAAAACACCTGACTTGGCACATGTCTGGCATGTTTTAGGCTGAATGATGAGTCAGTATCATTGACTGGTTATCAACAGCATGTCACCGCTGCTGTCTGTAGGGCTGATCTTGCATTATTTATACGTTGATGATGTTTATTGTACAGTCTGTGTTGCATCATTTACCCCAGTGAGGCTGGCAGTGTGAATAGAGCTGTTGTAGAGTTCTGCAGGGGTCTGTCAGTGAACACACACAGCCCCGCAGTGCAGGTGATCCCTCGAGCATCATCTGGAGAGATCCGCTGCACCGCTCCGCATTAGTCATACGGCAGGTGCCATCTTACACAGAGAAAAGAAAACAGCCCTTTAAAGTCAGCATGAAACGGAAGTTAAGATTGGCCTTTCTCCCATATCATGACGTATATCCACTTGAAATAGTCCTGAAATTAGAAAAAAAGTAGGACAGGGCTTGATATTGTCCTTTGGGGGGAAAAAAAGTGGAGGAAGACTGACTAATGGATGAAAGCAAGACATGCATGATAGCCCCACCCTAAAGCCCCACTCTTAATTACTGATGGTCCCGCTTTAACGGACAGATAGCCCCACCCTAAAGGACTGATAGTCCCGCCCTAAAGGGCTGATAACCCTGCCCTAACAGACAGATAGCCCCTCCATAAAGAATTGATAGCCCCGCCCTAAACATCTGAAAGCTCCACCCCATAAGGACTGATAGCCTCCTCCTAAAGGACTGATAACCCCGCCCTAACAAACAGATAGACCCACCATAAAGGATTGATAGCCCCGCCCGAAACTACTGAAAGCTCCACCCTAAAGGACTGATAGTCCCGCCCTAAAGGACTGATAGCATGGCTTTAAAGTATTGACAGGCCCACTCTAAAGGACTGATAGACCCACCCTAAACAAAGTAATAGTCCCGCCCTAAAGGACTGATATCCCTGCCCTAAAGTACTGATAGATCCACCCTAAAGGACTCATAGTCCCGCCCTAAAGTAATTAGCCCCATTTTAACAGACAGATAGGCTCAGCATAAATGACTAAAAGCCCCGCCTTAAACTACTGATAGCTCCACCCCAAAGGACTGATAACCCCACCATAAAGGATTAATATCCCCGCCCTAAACTACTGAAAGCTCCGCCCTAAAGGACTGATAGTCCCGCCCTTAAAGACTGATAGAATGGCTTTAAAGTATTGATAGGCCCATTCTAAAGGACTGATAGTCCTGCCCTAAACAAAGTAATAGTCCCGCCCTGAAAGTACTGAAAGCTCCACCCTAAAGGACTCATAGTCCTACCATAAAGTAATTAGCCCCATCCTAACAGACTGATAGCCCCGCCCTAAACTACTGATAGCTCCACCCTAACTGACTGATAACCCCGCCCTAACAGACAGATAGTCCCACCATAAAGGATTGATATCCCCGCCCTAAACTACTGAAAGCTCCACCCTAAAGGACTGATAGTCCCACCCTAAAGGACTGATAGAATGGCTTTAAACTATTGATAGCCCCATCCTAACAAACAGATAGCCCCACGATAATAAATTTGTACAAAATAATGAAGTACGCTGATACATTGTTAATAACAAGCGCTAGTGTTCAGTGTGAATGAGTACACCCCCTTTGGAAATCTGAATGTTAGTAAATATGTTAACTTACACTAATGAATAAATCCTCATTGTAAGGTGTGACCAAGTACAGTCATAGCAGTGAGCAATACGTTTTCTGCTGACAGGAGTTTCTAATGATTTATTAAAAATGACAACTGTCCAAACAAATTAGGTATGCGTTGTTTAGACATAACTAACGGGAAATAATCTGATTTATTAATGAAGTTCTGTAAAAGTGGTTGACTGACATTGTCAGGTTATTGGTTCACATGTAAACCGGAACAACAGGTTATGATAAGCTCTTTTTTCTGTGCATTATCAACATATTGATGTGCATGAAACACTGCGACATGAGCGGACAGTCTGCTGTCAATGTCTTCATTAATATTAATAGCTTCCGATTAATTCCTGCTGGAGGCTTACTGTATGCAGTGTTGACCGTTTATTATGTTTATGTTTTGAGATATACATTCATTTTTTCCTTTTCTTTCGGCTCAGTCTCTTATTTATCAGGAGTGGCCACAGCGGAATGAACCAGCAACTATTCCAGCATTTGTTTTACTCAGCAAATGCCCTTTCAGCTGCAACCCAGCATTGGGAAACACCCATACACTCTACCATTCACACAACACTAATACAAAACATAATTTGGGAAATATTTAAAAAAGAAAAATTAAAGGGGGGCTATTAATTCTGACTTCAAATATTTTTATATATATATATATATATATATATATGTAAAGGTCATTTGATTATATTGACAGTCTAATTTGTAATCAATATGGTCACAAAACCATTATGTCATGTGTTGTTGCATGTGTATATTCTGGGGAATAGTCAAACAGAGTCAAAATTAACAAATAAAAATATCAAATTTTACTTTATTATATTTTATTTTATGCCAAAAAATATTATATACAGATTGAGCTTCATGGGGATATTTTGTAAATCCATTCATTTATTCGTTCATTCATTTATTCATTCATTCATTCATTCATTCATTCATTCGTTCATTCATTCATTCTCTTTCGGCTCAGTCTCTTATTTATCAGGGGTTGCCACAGCGGAACGAACCACCAACTATTCCAGCATCTGTTTTACACAGCAAATGCCCTTCCAGCTGCAACCCAGCACTGGAAAACACCCATACACTCTCCCATTCATGCACACACTGATACACTACGACCAATTTAGTTTATTCACTTCCCCTATAGCTCATGTGTTTGGACTGTGGGGGAACACCCGGAGGGAACCCATGCCAACACTGGGAGAACATGCAAACACAGAAATGCCAACATGGCCCAGCAGCCAATTAAAAACAAAAGGGGCCAATAATATTGTCCTAAAAATTGCTTTTAAAAATTAAAAACTGCTTTTATTTCAGCCAAACTAAAACAAATAATGTGGCCTTTTTGTTTTCCGAAACCTCACTATTAAATTCAGAAGCAAAAATGCATCAACATTGCAGTCAATATCGCATGTGAATATGGACTGATGATCTCATATATTGCTTTGCCCGAGGCCAGTACATATTTTTCTCTCAGGTTTCATTCAGTTTTGCCTCGGGCTCTGGATATACAGACGGTCTCGGCGTGAGCCGCAGGTTATTACTCTTTAATCCGCTTACTGTGCAACTGTTTGATGGCGGAGGAAACTAAGACTGACAGATCAATGTAAGTTAGTGTGGTTAGCACTGTCAGCTCACACCAAGAAGGTCACTGGTTCGAATCCAGTTGGTTATCTGTGTGGAGTTTGCATGTTCTCCCCATGTTGGCGTGGGTTTCCTCTGGATGCTCCGGTTTCCCCCACAGTCCAAACACAATGCACTATGGGGGAATTGATGAACTAAATTGGCCGTAGTGTACAGTATGAGTGTATGGGTGTTTCGCAGTACTGGATTGGAAGGGCATCCACTGTGTAAAACATATGCTGGAATAGTTGGCGGTTCATTCCGCTGTGGCAACCTCTGAAATAGAGACTGAGCCACAGGAAAATGAATGAATGAGTTGTTTTAGCGTCTATTTTTGTTTCAGTTTTAGGTAAATGCTGAAGACATTGTCATTTAAATGTATTAATAACAGGCTGGTAATAAGCATATTAACACTTAAACTAAAGTGTTACCAAAAGCTTTCAACAAAGGGGTTTCTTTTATGGTTTTAGGCTTTAGATTAGTGTAATATTAATTCTTAAAGCACACTAGAGTATGTTTCTGCACGTACCGTATTTCTGAAAGTCAACAACAGCCTTCATATGACAAGCCTCTTCATTTTTAATGCCTTGACTGAATCAACGTTGAGTCCGGAAGTCAAACAGTTTTTAATTTTTAATTTTATTTAGTTGTGTCTGACGCAGCCTGTTATTAACCCCCAGACAACCCCAAATGATTTTTTCGGTCACATGACCCGTGCAGACAAAAAAACATGAGTGTAATGGTGGCTACACATGGGATCTCTATAGAAGCGCATCACAATCTGCTCATATTTCCATCAGTTTCAAACTACAACTGTTTGTATCCCATATCAATACAAATATATGATCACAAACTGAAAATTGTGTGCAATTGTGCAATTTGCAGACATGTTTTTAGTAATTTAAAACCCTCGTGTTCTTCTCAGAGTTAAAATTTTTGCAATATTTACATTTATCTTGTGGAAATCCCCTATTGATTCAGTAATTGGTGGCGTGTTATAGAGCGTATGTGTCTGCTTTTATATTTGGCGTTTGGTTTCATTGGCTTTGATTTGTATTTGCTCGTCTAGAAAATCTATTCATTCACTTCTGCTAGTTATACTTTGACTTTGCATTTTAGATTATACTTTAATTGCACTTAACCTGCAAATTAGAATAGAGATGGTATAGAAAGCACACAAAGGTACTCACATTTATAGAGTAGTGACCATAGATTGTTACAACCCAGGCTCATTGGGGATATGTACCCTGGTCTACATTTCTGGGGACAGCGAAATACGTAAGTGTAGGTACAGTTTTAGTCAGAATAATTATTCCCCAATTTATTTATTTATTCTTTTTTAAATATTTCACAAATTATGTTTAACAGAGACATTTTCACAGTGTGTCTGATAATATTTTTTCTTCTGGAGAAAGTCTTATTTGTTTTATTTCGGCTAAAATAAAAGCAGTTTTTAATTTTTAAAAGCCATTTTAAGGTCAAAACTATTAGCCCCTTTAAGCTATTTTCCCCCCAATAATCCCCAGAACAAACCATCGTTATACATTAACTTGCCTAACTACCCTAACCTGCCTAGTTAACCTAATTACCCTAGTGAAGCCTTTAAATGTCACTTTAAGCTGAATACTAGTGTCCTGAAGAATATCTAATCTAATATTATGTGCTGTCATCATGACAAAAAGAAAATAAATCAGTTATTAGAAATGAGTTATTAAAGCTATTATGATTAGAAATGTGTTGAAAAAAAACAGCTCTCAGTTGAACAGAAATTGGGGAAAAAAATAAACAAGGGGTGAAATAACTCTGACTTCAACTGTACGTCTGCTCGCAGTTTTAGTTTTTGCAAATCCTCTAGAGGCCGCTGTGAATGCTTTTTGATGATCTCAAATTTCTCTTGCATGTTCTCTTCTCGCATAAATCCTCTAGAGGGCGCAATATACATTTCAGTCGACCCCCGTCCCATCCCCTTCCTTAAATCCAACCAATAGTGTTTTCTAAAGCAATCTAGAAAAAAGAAAAGCTGTCGCGATCTTGTGATTTTTACCATGCCTTCAGCTTGTTGTTTATTTATTTATTATTTTTTATTTACATGCTTTCTGGAATTATTCTACCCTGCGGTCTGTTCTTCGTACGTGGATTACTCAGTTAGCTGGATTTGGATATTGACGATTTGACACGATCCAGGATCGTTTCGTTCTTCAAAACTGATCTGAGACTTGTTGTCATAGCAACAGTTCTGGTAGCTCAAACCCGGTCAGAAGCAGGTTCAATTCACATAAACAGGATTATATATATATATATATATATATATATATATATATATATATATATATATATATATATATATATATATATATATATATATATATATATATATAATATAAGTTATAGTTATTAACAAAATAAATAAAGATAGATAGATATATATATATATTATTAAAAATTATGCAATCTGCACCCCCGAAATTCAGTTCACAGACTGCCACCTGGTGGTGCAAAGGGAAAACTTATTGATATGAACTTTTTAAAACGCTTTAGTACAATTTAACTATGAAAATAGAAACAATATGTGACTTTTTTTAAAGCAATAATACATTTATGCAGTCATAAACATGTTTTGACAGTTAATATGACGGTGATTTGATTCTTCACAAAAGTTGCAGACATTCATCCAGACATTTTAATCTGATTCACGAACTTGTTTGAAGAATCAAATCAGCCAGAGATCAGTTATCAAGATTAAAAGATCCAGAATCTGCCAAATCATTTTAGATCATTTAAGCGAGGTACGAAGAACGGACCCCTGGACTCAAACCCCATCGTCGCAGTCAACTCCACTACACATCCCAAGACAACCCCAGAAAAGCCATTCAGAAGCGGGCAGCGGTAGCATGAAATGAAACAGAAGCAGTCAGTGGCATCATACCGCCCCGTAGCGTTCATTTTACTGATGAAATGGAGCCAGATGTATCTCTGGGTATATATTTCACGGTCTCCAGAAATGTAGACAGGCATATGTATTCACAAGGAGCCTCTGTTGGATTGTTATCAGTCAATGATGCTAACATCTTGCACAAATCCATTTCTCCTCTCTGGCTGTTCTTTCTATGAGGGAATCCTACAGAAGCACAGCCTAGATGTGATGCTAAATCTTAATGCAAAACAATTATGCAGCTTTTTGGCTAAAAAAAAAAAAAAAAGACAAATCCCTCAGCCCGTGACTCGGCGGTCAGCAGGAGATAGTAATGTTTTGATTGTTACCAATATTGGTTGAGATGTGAGAACTTTTAATTAAACATCCGCATGGGATCATGGGCGATGGGATCTGATACCTTTAAATTGGCAGGTCTGCCTGAGCGTGCTCTGTTGACTCTTGCAGACGTGTGGGGAAACACAAGCGGCCATGTGTGAAATACAGTCTGTGCTTCTCGATGCATCAATGCAGACCAGCCCAAACAGCAAGTGAGACGCTGAAACACATTTACAACTGGCTCATTATCACATCACCTTATAATAAAGAAATACAAAGTATACAGTTAAGGTTTCCCAGATGATGTTGAACAGATTCAGGAATATTTTTCACAGTATTTCCTGATAATAATCAGGAATAATAATCATTCAAAATAAACACCGTACATAATTAAAAACAGCTAAGGGTCATCTTTGTTATATCATCGCATTATATATTATTTAAATGCACATATTTATTTCCATGTGACATCTCATTTGCTTCCACTCTGGAAGCAAAAAAGGAGGTAAAAAGTATAAATAATTATAGTAATAAATAATATAAATAATATACTATAAATATAAGTGGATTGAGCATAAATCAATCAATAATTGAGTTGTGTCAGCTCATTGTAAATAAGCAGCTTGAACAAAGTATATTTGGAGTATATTTGACCAAACATTTCTGGAGATCAGGGTATATACACACACACACACGCACACACGCACACACACACACACACACACACACACACACACACACACACACACACACACACACACATATCAACATAACAGTATAGAAGGATAATTTAATTAAGTGGAAATTAAAGTGAACAGTACACATTATTTAAGCTGTATACATTATTATATATATTATATATACAGTTGAAGTCAGAATTATTCGGCCACCTTTTAATTTTTTTCTTTTTTAAATATTTCCCAAATGATGTTTAACAGATTCAGGAAATTTTCACAGTATGTCTGATAATATTTTTTCTTCTGGAGAAAGTCTCATTTGTTTTATTTCAGCTAGAATAAAGGCAGTTTTTAATTTTTTTAAAAGTCATTTTTGGGACAATATTATTAGCCCCTATAAGGTATTTTTTTCTCGATAATCTACAGAACAAACCATCATTATACAATAACTTGCCTAATTACACTAACCTGTCTAGTTAACCTAATTAACCTAGTGAAGCCTTTAAATGTCACTTTAAGCTGTATAGAAGTGTCTTAAAGAATATCTAGTCTAATATTGTTTACTGTCATCATGACGAAGATAAAATAAATCAGTTATTAAAGATGAGTTATTAAAACTAGCATACTTGGAAATGTGTTGAAAAAAAAATCTTCTCTTCATCAAACGGAAATAGAGGAAAAAATAAACAGGGGGGGCTGATAATTCAGGGGGGCTAATAATTCTGACTTCAACTGTATATGTTTATGTGCAGTTGCAATATTTAGAGTGTACTGTAAAAATGCTGGGTTTCACAATCGATTTGTGTTGGGAGAATATTAAGGAATTAAGTTAACTGAGTAAACTAGTTAGATTTTACAAATTTAAGTGGATTGAGCATAAAACAATTACGTTTTCCCTTAAAACATCAAGAATTGTGTTGTTTCAGCTCATTTTAAATAAGTAGTTTAAACAAATATTTTTGAGAGTATTTGACCCAGCATTTCAGGAGCTCAGGGTACACTGAAAAACAGATTTTTTTGCAAAATTGTTGCAAGCAATTTATATGGGTTGAATTAAAAAAACAAATCAAATTTGGCAAAACTTTTTAAATCAACCCAAATTGTTTACAACCACTTACTGTACCTTTAAAATTGTTAATCCAAGGAGTTTCTTCATCTTTGAAGATTTGATTTTTTAAGTGCACGTGCATACAGTTGAAGTCAGAATTATTCGCCCCCTTTTTATTTTTTTTTATTTTTTATTTTGAATATTTCCCAAATAATGTTTAACAGAGCAGAGATTTTTCACAGTAAGTCTGATAATATTTTTTCTTCTGGAGAAAGTCTCATTTGTTTTATTTCAGCTAGAATAAAAGCAGTTTTTAATTTTTAAAAAAACATTTTGGGACAAAATTATTAGCCCCTTTAAACTACATTTTTTTCATGATAACCTACAGAACAAACCACTGTTATGCAATGACTTGCCTAAATACCCTAACCTGCCTAGTTAACCTAATTAACCAAGTTAAGAATTTAAATGTCACTTTAAGCTGTATAGAAGTATCTTGAAAAATATCAAGTAAAATATTATTTACTGTCATCATGGCAGAGATAAAATAAATCAGTTATTAGAGATGAGTTATTAAAACTATTATGATTAGAAATGTGCTGAAACAATCTTCCCTCCATTAAACAGAAATTGGGGAAAAAATAAACAGGGGCGCTAATAATTGAGGGGCGCTAATAATTGAGGGGGGCTAATAATTGAGGGGGGCTAATAATTCTGATTGAACTGTACAGACAAACATACATACTGCACTGTACATATCAACACGAGAAGACCGAAGGACATTTAGAGAAGTGGAAAATAAAGTAAACAATAAGAATTATGAAGTTATATATACACTCAGATAATTAAGTTTGCTGTTTGTTCAAACCTGAAACAGCACAATTCTTGAGTTTTTTAGAGAGAACTTAATTGATTTATACTCAATCCACTGAAGTTCGTAAAAACTAAGTTGAATAAATCCCTTCATGTTGCCTCAATAAAAAACAGTTCTGTGGAACACAGCATTGTTTATTTACAGCATATACACATGTATGTGCAATATTCACAAGCTGTTTAAAGTCAGTTTAACCTAAGATTGCTGTTATTTAGCATAGAAATGTTGATTGATCATTTGTGTTTTAAAGTTTTAGTTCCCAATCATAGAGTCTCTGTACTCACCGAGGAGAATGGCGGCTCGTGTGGCCCTCATGTGCGCTGCTGGTGTTGGTCAGTGTTGTGAATGAATGAGCAGCTCCTCTACAGACGCTCTTCTACTCTCTTTACTGCGTCACTGCGATGATAATAATGAGCCAATAATCCTCTCTCAGGTGCAGCAGCTGCTCAATATCTCTCACCTGCACTGCAGCCTCAGCCAATCAGCAGCAGATCACACTGTCAAAGCAGCCCTCAGCTGACTTTACTCAAAAAAGTGAGTAAACCTGTTTTCATAAAATCATTAAGTAAATAAACGGCTATGGAAAAGAAGTCAGATTAACCGTTCCAGGTTACAAAATTACTCACTTTTAAAAAACAAAATAAAGAACATTTGTCTTTTTTAAAGGGGATTTTTATGCAAAAATCACTTTTATAAGAGGTTAAACACAGTTGTTTGTGGACAGTGAGTGAATATATCCACTTTCTAATGGTAAAAATTAATTAATTCAAATTTTTATTGTTTATAATTTATAAAGACTTGATAAAAACAGTCTGCAGAAACGTTTTGATTGACATTCTTTATTTATACGTGTCATCAGAGGGGGAAAGCCCCGCCCACTAGTGACCATCTCGCCCTCATTAGCATAAACAGCCCTAAGTGAGAAGCAGCTGTACGCCATTAGAGTTTTGAATTTTCGACTTTGGTGACAAATAGGCATTTGTACACAGAAAAAAAATCTGTATTTTTATGGTTTATTTCCGTAATAAAACTGTCGTTAAGTTACAGAAATTTACTATAAAATGACAGATATTAAATTTAAAAAATTTACCAGAAATTAAAATCTAAGCAAATATCGGTTATATCGGTTAAATTTAATTTAATGTCGGTTATTTAACCGATATTAAATTAAATTTAAACTAAAATTTAAATTCACATGTCATCACATGTTAATATCGGTTATTTAATATCGGTTATTTTACGGTATATTTCTGTAATTTAACAGCCGTTATTTTACATTTGTTTTCTGCACCCCGGCTGCTGGAAATAAACCGTAAAATTATGTTTGTTTGTTTTTTACAGTGTAGCTAAAGCAACAGTCACCAAAATGTATTTTGTTTTGTTTATGTTTAATTTAATTCATGTTTATTTCAATTTTATTTATTATATCTTAACTATATATCTTAACAGTGGCGCAGTCGGTAGTGTTGTCGCCTCACAGCAAGAAGGTCGCTGGGTTGCTGGTTGGAACCTCGGCTCAGTTGGCATTTTTGAGGAGTTTGCATGTTCTCCCTGCGTTCGCGTGGGTTTCCTCCGGGTGCTCCGGTTTCCCCCACAGTCCAAACACATGCTGCAGGTGAATTGGGTAGGCTAAATTATCCGTAGTGTATGAGTGTGTGACAGGGCCAGACGACAGGCCGGCCGAAAGGTGTAAAAAAGTCAATATCATGTGGACAAAGTCTAAATAAAGGACTTGTTCCAAATAGCCGACCCCGCAACCATACGGGACTAAGGCCAAAGAAGAAGATATCTTAATTTTATTTTATATATTTTAAATTTATTTAATAGTAATTTTTATATGTTTAATTAAAACTTTAATTTAAATAAACTTCATTTATTTAAGTCTGATGTTTAGAGTCAGAAGAAATGATACTGTCAAGAATAAAAAAAAACAAAACACTTTTGATATATCATTGAATTCACTCTTCTAAACCCACAGTAACCACCAGACATCCTATTATTTATAGGATTAATTGTATTTCTTATTTTACTGACTCCCGAGTTTTAGAATCAGAACAAGTCATGCTGTCTAGACTCAAAATAGGAAATAAATTAAATTAAAAGAACACTGGCTTTCAATGTACTGTAATATTGAGTTCAGTCTTCTAAACCCACAGTAACCATCAGACATTTCATTAAAACATTCATTAAAACATCATCGTTTATTAAGCAATCTCACGCTGCCTTCTTCTAAAGTTTCTTTTATGAGTATTTCAGATTATTTACATTTCATTTCATTTAACTATGAATGAGAGAAGATTTTTCAGACATTCTTCATGTATTGTGTAGAACAGACTGTGCATTTGTTAATTAAGTGATATTAAATCCTGTTTTGATCAGCACTGTGCTGCAGTGGGTAGCACAATCACCTCACAGCAAGAAGGTCGTTGAATCGAGCCCTGGCTGGTTCAGTTGGCATTTCTGTTTGGAGTTTGCATGTTCTGCCCATGTTGGTGTGGGTTTCCTCCGGGTGCTCCAGTGAATTGGGTAAGCTTAATTGTCTGTAGTGTATGTGTGTATGGATGTTTCCCAGTGATGGGTTGCAGCTGGGAGGGCATCCACTGCATAAAACATATGCTGGAAAAGTTCACATTACACTGTGGCGACCCCTGATTAATAAAGGAAGCACGCCGAAAAGAAAATGAATGAATGAATAATATCCTATTTTTGAAAATCTATTTTCAGAGAAGATATTTCTATGCAAATGACGTACAGCTGCTTCTTACTCAGGGCTGTTTATGCTAATGAGGGAGAGAAGGTCACTAATGGGCGGGGCTCTCCCTCTCTGATGACAAGTACAGAGAGAGAATGTCAATCAAAGTGTCTCTGCACCGTTTTTTTAACAAGTCTGATTATAAAAAATATAATTAATTAACGCCTACCATTAGAGGCTGGCTATTTTCATTGACTGCTGCCACACAACTGTGTTTTTTTGCATAACAGCAAATAAAGAAGACTAGCAAAGGCCCTCTGAAAAACAAACAAACTGTAACAATAATCGTCATTTGGACTGCTTTTAAAACATACACCAACACTTATGTTGCTGTTTAATTGTTGATTTATTTTTTTTTGGATTGCACCAACAAGAGTAGATAAGTGTAATTCACATTTTCCCAGGTAAACACTGTTTAAAAGTCAGCATGTGTGGAGATTATTTACATACAGTATATGCTGATAAAAAAATAAGGACCAACGGCTTTGTAGAAGTATAATGACACTTTCTTTGATGCCCATGCTCGTTATGACTTCAATCAAGCAATAACTGCTGTATGTATCTATAAAGGCACAGCAAAACCCAAACTTTATAACAATAACCCTAAGAATGCATGTTTTCAGTGATCATTTAAAACACAATAGACACACTCACACACTCACCGGCCACTTTATTAGGTACACCTTACTAGTACCCATTTGGCCCCCCTTTTACCCTAGAAATGGTTGTGTGTGAAAATCCCAGTAGATCAGCAGTTTCTGAAATACTCAGAGCAGCCCTTCTGGCACCAACAACCAAGCCATGTTCAAAGTCATTTAAATCTCCTTTCTTTCTTATTCTGATGCTCGGTGTGAACTGCAGGAGATCGTCTTGACTCCATGCCTAAATGCATTGAGTTGCTGCTATGTGATTGGCTGGTTAGAAATGTGCTTTGACAAGCAGTTGGACAGGTGTACCTAATAAAGTGGCCGGTGAGTATATAAATATAAATATATATATATATATATATATATATATATATATATATATATATATATATATATATATGTGTGTGTGTGTTTGTGTGTGTGTGTGTGTGTGTGTGTGTGTGTGTGTGTGTGTGTATAATAACAGTTATACATAGATTATAATAGTGTTATAAATATTTAATAGAGGTGCCTTTTTCAATATACATGTTCATAACACTCTGATTTATAAGTATTAATTAGTTGGTCATGATTGTATTTATGAAGATGGGTATGATTGTTCTTATGACATGAGTAAATTGGAGTCTATGTAATTTTTTCCCCTGATTGTTTGACATAAAATGTACATTACTTTTGTAATCAATCGTTATGGATGCCCTTATGAATCACGACCAACTAATTAATACTTATAAATCGGTGTATAATGGCTTATGAATACGCACACTAAAAAATACATCACTAATAAGTATTAATAATACTGTTATAAATGCAGCTGTCATTATAATACAGTGTAGGTTTTGTTGTGTCATTTATTGTTATGCTTGATTATAAACTATTGGAATTCATTATGAGCATGGGTGTCATAAAGTGTTGTAGATTAATGAACTAAAACATACACAAACCTAATGTCAAACATATTTACACAAAATACAAAGAAGCAGCAGCAACAGCAGCAGCAAGTGTACGCTTTAAATAAAATACCACAAGACATCAAGACAAGCACCTGAGATAAATCCATCATAAAGAGTTTGACACCCTGCTGGTCACCTGTTCATGTTCGTGATGGTGTCTAGCACACTGGAACAAAGATGCATTATTGTGCTATTCTGCTTTAATGCTCGGTACTCATCAGACTAATAATAGTGGCATCAACACTCAGTGCTTCAGGCTTCACGACCAGCAAGCAAACACTCAATGCAAATAATTACTGCGGGACTGTGCTAAACATCCACAACAGTGCACACTTCACAGCTGAAATTCACATTAAGTGAACAATAAAAGGCTGTCTTGATGTTTGATTGAGTGCCTCCCACATTAAAACAAATACTATAGTAATTTATAGTCAATAGTATAGTTTTTGAACCATAGTTCTTTAGTAAATTGCTTCTGTTAATTCTATAGTTGCTATGGTAACAGATCAAATATAATAGTTGATCTTTGCGGAAATTCTATAGTTGCTATGGTAACACAACAACTACAGTAGTTAATCTGTTGCGGTAATTTTATAGTTGCTATGGTAACAACTATAGAATTTGATCTGTTGTGGTAATTCTATAGTTGCTATGGTAACACAACTATATAAGTTGATCTGTTGTGGTAATTATATAGTTGCTATGGTAACACAACTATAGTAGTTGATCTGTTGTGGTAATTTTATAGTTGCTATGTAAACACAACTATAGTAGTTGATCTGTTGTGGTAATTATATAGTTGCTATGGAAACACAACTATAGTAGTTGATCTGTTGTGGTAATTATTTAGTTGCTATGGTAACACAACAACTATAGTAGTTGATCTGTTGTGGTAATTATTTAGTTGCTATGTTAACACAACTTTAGTAGTTGATCTGTTGTGGTAATTATTTAGTTGCTATGGTAACACAACAACTATAGTAGTTGATCTGTTGTGGTAATTATTTAGTTGCTATGTTAACACAACTTTAGTAGTTGATCTGTTGTGGTAATTATTTAGTTGCTATGGAAACACAACTATAGTAGTTGATCTGTTGTGGTAATTATTTAGTTGCTATGGAAACACAACTATAGTAGTTGATCTGTTGTGGTAATTATTTAGTTGCTATGGTAACACAACAACTATAGTAGTTGATCTGTTGTGGTAATTATTTAGTTGCTATGGTAACACAACTGTAGTAGTTGATCTGTTGTGGTAATTATTTAGTTGCTATGGTAACACAACTATAGTAGTTGATCTGTTGTGGTAATTATTTAGTTGCTATGGAAACACAACTATAGTAGTTGATCTGTTGTGGTAATTATTTAGTTGCTATGGTAACACAACAACTGTAGTAGTTGATCTGTTGTGGTAATTATTTAGTTGCTATGGTAAAACAACTATAGTAGTTGATCTGTTGTGGTAATTATTTAGTTGCTATGGTAAAACAACTATAGTAGTTGATCTGTTGTGGTAATTATTTAGTTGCTATGGTAACACAACTGTAGTAGTTGATCTGTTGTGGTAATTATTTAGTTGCTATGGTAAAACAACTATAGTAGTTGATCTGTTGTGGTAATTATTTAGTTGCTATGGTACCATAGTATTGATCGAAAACAGTAAAGAATTTTCTATACATTGCTATAGTATTTTTATTTTTCATGTGGGCTTATTGGGACTAAAGTACTGTAAACTGTCCCTGAAAAGATGACTCAAAATGTCAAATTTGAACCTAATAAACAAAATAAATATAATATAATATAAGCACATAAACAAGATCAGTTTGTAGTCATGCATGCGGAAAGTGTCAAATGCAACCCGTTTCCTGAATTGTGCTGTGTTTTACTGCAAAAAAAAGAAGTTCTCCCTTAATATGTCTTTCCTGTTTTTCCAGGACAAATATTTAAACATTCTCAATCCAAGCATCAAAGATTCAAAATATCTTTAAAGGATAGTTCACCAAAAAAAAAAAAAAAAAAAAAAAAAACATCCCTCATGTGGTTTTAAACATTAGTGAGCTCTTCATACTCTTCAGTATATCTTCAACAGAAGGAAAAAAATAATAGTTAAGTGTGAGTAAACGCATACAACATATTCATATCTGGGTGAACTATCCCTTTAGGATTTCAAGCCATTGTCTGAAAAATGTACCAATATGCCAATAATCTAAATATCTATTTAAGTGTTCAGTGGTTTGTTCACTTATAAAATAAATAATTTTCCATTTATTTTATATGTCTTAATTCACTCAAGTGTGAAATGCATTAACTTAAGCATTTGGCAATTGTTCAGCTCATGCAGATGAAGAAATGTTTTCTGAAACATGAAAGACAGAGTTGTTAACCCTCCTGTAAAGTTTAAAATCCTTTACATTTAGTTGAAATCAGAATTATAAGCCTCCTTGAATTATTAACCCTCCTGTTTATTTTTTCCCCAATTTCTGTTTAACAGAGAGCAGATTTTTACAACACATTTCTGAACATAATAGTTTTAATAACTGATTTCATTAATAACTGATTTCGTTTATCTTTGCCATGATGACAGTAAATAAAATTAGACTATATATTCTTCAAGACACTTCTATACAGCTTAAAGGGACATTTAAAGGCTTAACTAGGTTAGTTTTGTTAGGCAGGTTAGCGTAATGAGGCAAGTTACTGTATAACGATGGTTTGTTCTGTAGATTATCAAGAAAAGAAAAATTGCTTAAAAGGGTTAATAATATTGACCTTAAAATGTTGTTCAAAAAATTAAAAACAGCTTTTATTCTGTCCGAAATAAAACAAATAAGACTTTCTCCAGAAGAAAAAAATATTATCAGACATACTGTGAAAATTTCCTGAATCTGTTGAACATCATTTGGTAAATATTTAAAAAAAGAAAATAAATTCAAAGGGGGCTAATAATTCTGACTTCAACTGTATCAATATTTTTCCCAAGTGATATTTGCAGAGAGAATTTTTTTAAAAAACATATTTAAACATTCATAATTTATTTCTAATAACTAATTTATTTGTCTTTGCCATGATGACAGTGTGTAATATTACACTAGTTATTTTGCAAGATAGCGTTTAGCTTAAAAGGCAAGTTAGGTTAATAAGGTTAACTAGGCAAATTAGGTTAATTAGGTGGCTAAGAATATTAATTTTAACGGTTTTTATTTGTTTAGATATGTGTTTTTACTTCAGCCAAAGTAAAACAATACTTTGACATTGCTCTTTTAAACATCACTTGGGAAATATTTGAAAAAGAAGGGCTAATAATATTGTCTTCTACTGTTTTTCAAAATTGAGCTTTTTTTTGCTTATAACATCTACCAATGGTGTCGGAAAAAGTCATTTAATTTTAAAAGGAAAGACAAATTATAACCCCCTTCGCAGATATCTGGTCTTAAGTAAAATAAGAAACTCAATTTAGATTTTCTTTTTAATTCCAGAAAACAAGACTTAACATCTATACTTTCTTCAGTTTCCCCCCACATTTCATTATGTCCTCCAAACATTAGCCTGAATGTTCATGCTCAGGCACGTGCACGTGAACAAGACAACAAATGAACCTCTCAGCAAAGAAAAGGGATAGTTCACCTAAAAACTCATCTTTTACTCGTTTTGTTTTGTGTTTCTTCTTTTAAACACACTGTAAGATACACCAGCCTGATCTAACTAGGAAATACTATAAATAAATAAAAAATACTGTAGTAATTTATATTTTTTTAACCATAGTGCTTTAGTAAATTACTTCTGGCAATTCTATAGTTGCTATGGTAACACATCAACTATAGTAATTGATCTGTTGTGGTTTTTATATAGTTGCTATGGTAACACAAGAACTTTAGAAATTGATCTGTTGTGGTAATTTTATAGTTGCTATGGTAACAAATCGACACTTGTAATTGATCTGTTGTGGTAATTCTATAGTTGCCATGGTAACAAATCAACATAGTATTTGTTCTGTTGTGGTAATTGTATAGTTGCTATGGTAACATATCAACTATAGTAATTGATCTGTTGTGGTAATTCTATAGTTGCTATGGTAACACATTACCTAAATAGTTGATCTGTTGTGGTATTTATATAGTTGCTATGGTAACACAAGAACTATAGAAATTGATCTGTTGCGGTAATTTTATAGTTGCTATGGTAACACATCAACACTAGTAATTGTTCTGTTGTGGTAATTGTATAGTTGCTATGGTAACATATCAACTATAGTAATTTATCTGTTGTAATTCTATTGTTGCTATAGTAACACATCAAGGACTATTATTTGGTCTGTTGTGGTAATTTTATAGTTGCTATGGTAACACATCAACTATAGTAATTGATCTTTTGTGGTAATTCTATAGTTGCTATGGTAACATATCAACATAGTAATTGTTCTGTTGTGGTAATTTTAAAGTTGCTATGATAACACATCAATTATAGTTATTGGTCTGTTGTGGTACGTCTATAGTTGCTATGGTAACAAAATATAGTAACTGATCAGTTGTGGTAATTCTATAGTTTCTATGGTAATAAATCAACATAGTAATTGTTCTGTTGTGGTAATCCTATAGTTGCTATGGTAACAAACTATAGTAATTGTTCGGTTGTGGTAATTATGATGTTGCTATGGCAACACATCAACATAGTAACTATTCTGTTGTGGTAATTCTATAGTTGCTATTGTAACGCAAAAACTATAGTAATTGTTTCATTGTGGTAATTCTGTTGTTGCTATGGCAACACATCAACATAGTAGTTGTTCTGTTGTGTTAATTCTATAGTTGCTATGGTAACAAAATGTAATAATTGTTCTGTTGTGGTAATTCTATAGTTCCTATGGTAACACAACAACTATAGTAATTGATCTGTTGTGGTAATTATATAATTGCTATGGTAACACAACCTCTATAGTAATTGATCTGTTGTCGTTATTCTATAGTTGCTATGGTAACACAACAACTATAGTAATTGATCTGTTGTGGTAATTCTATAGTTGCTATGGTAACAACAACTATAATAGTTGATCTGTAGTAGTAATTCTATAGTTGCTACGGTAACACATCAACTATAGCAATTGCTCTGTTGGGGTCATTCTTTGGTTGCTATGGTAACACAGACTATAGTAGCTGATCTGTTGTGGCAATTTTGTTTAGTGGTTAATTCGGCCAAAGTTCAGTTGTATTAAAATGTACTCAAAGCCCATCCCCAAACCCAACCATCTTTGGGAGATGATCAAATCGTACTGAGATCGTACACATTCATACAGCTACTAAATCAAAAAGTTACAAACTGACGCAAGTGAGATCACATTGGATATACTGAAGAATGCTGGGAAAACACAGCCATTGGCATCAGTAGTATTTCATATTGCTACTATGGATTTCAATGGCTGTTTACAACATTCTTCAGAGTATCTTATTTTGTATTTATAAAACATGATTAAACGTATCGAGTCACTTCGGTGTATATGTAAATGTTGAGTAAATGGGTGTACTATCCCTTTAATACAAAAGTACACACAAATAAACAATGTCACATTTTTGGAGCTCCACAGAAGTCTGAAATCCAGAAATGGTGTTTGTTTTCAAACAGGCTTCCAGACTGCATCTGCCATTGGCTGCTCAAACAAAAACAGCATCCAAAAACACACGAGTGATGAGCCAGAATCAGTGCGTTCGGCTGGTCTGATGCTCAACAAACTGAGCAAAGCTTTCACTCCTCTGAGAAATCAATCCAAAATATGGCCATCAAGAGTGGAAGGAAGGAAGTATTTCAACACTGAAAAAACTGATTCATTTGTTGCATCTCTCCCGCCCTCATTGGCTTTCCGAGACATGCCATTATTTTCATGCAATCCATCATCTCAGGGGGTCATGAGCACAAAAAATACCCCTAAAAATCCATTCCCGAAGCCTCCAGCGCTTGACACAGTGTCATTTTCAGAAAGCTGGCCAATATTGGATCTGTTCAGTGTGTTCTACTGGATGATCTACACCGCCTGGTCTGAAATCCTGGAGATGTTGTCGAGGTTGTTGACCTGTGTTGACAGGGATTTTCGGCTGTCTGTGCTGGTTCTGCCTCTCGCTCTCTGCTTGTGTGTTTCTCCTCGACCCGAGCACTGACAGATGAACGCTGCTTTAAACTCCTCTCGAAATTTGCCTGCCAGAAAACATTTTATTTCAGACATCAAGCAATATCAAACTTTTATATATATATATATATATATATATATATATATATATATATATATACACAGTTGAAGTCAGAGTTATTGTTCTTTTTCAGATATTTCCCAAATGATGTTGAACAGATTCAGGATTTCTTTCACAGTATTTCCTATAATATTTTTTCTTCTGGAGAAAGTCTTATTTTTTTATTTCGGCTAGAATAAAAGCAGTTTTTAATTGTTTTAAAGCCATTTTAAGGTCGATATTATTAGCCCCTTGAGCAATATTAGTTTTAGATTGTCTCCAGAACAAACCACTGTTATACAATAACTTGCCTAATTACCCTAACTTTACCCTAATTAACCTAATTAAGCCTTTAAATGTTGATTTGTGTTTGGCCAACATGAAGGAATTAAGTTCACTTAGTAGTTTTTACAAATTTGAGTGAATTGAACATAAAACAAGTTGTCCCAAAAAAAACTCAAGAATTGTATTGTTAGCTCATTTTAAATAAGTAGTTTGAACAATCAACAAACTATTTTTTGTTTGTTTTAAATGTGTATTGTATAGCTCCATGTATATGTAAAGTTATTAAGTTATAAAAAATTATAATATTATCAAATCAAATGCTTGTTTAAATCTAGAGTTCTCAAAATGTTTAAACAAAATGCTTATTTTTTATTATTATTACTCTTATTTACATTAAAATTGAATACTCTAATATTTTTCATTGTTACTTAGATGTTTTAAACATTACAATATTACTTAGATGTTTTAAACGTCACAATGTTACTTAGATGTTTTAAATGTTATATTACCTAGATGTTTTAAACGTTACAATGTTACTTAGATGTTTTAAACTTTACAATATTACTTCAATGTTTTTAAACGTTACAATATTACAAAGATGTTTTTAAACATTACAATATTACTTAGATGTTTTTAAATGTTACAATATTACTTAGATGTTTTTAAACGTTACAATATTACAAAGATGTTTTTAAATGTTACAATGTTACTTAGATGTTTTAAACGTTACAATGTTACTTAGATGTTATTAAACGTTACAATATTACTTAGATGTTTTAAACGTTACAATATTACAAAGATGTTTTAAATGTTACAATGTTACTTAGATGTTTTAAACGTTACAATGTTACTTAGATGTTATTAAACGTTACAATATTACTTAGATGTTTTTAAACGTTACAATATTACTTAGATGTTTAAAACGTTACAATATTACAAAGATGTTTTTAAACGTTACAATGTTACTTAGATGTTTTAAACGTTACAATATTACTTAGATGTTTTAAACGTTACAATATTACAAAGATGTTTTAAATGTTACAATGTTACTTAGATGTTTTAAACGTTACAATGTTACTTAGATGTTATTAAACGTTACAATATTACTTAGATGTTTTTAAACGTTACAATATTACTTAGATGTTTAAAACGTTACAATATTACAAAGATGTTTTTAAACGTTACAATGTTACTTAGATGTTTTAAACGTTATAATATTACTTAGATGTTTTAAACTTTACAATGTTACTTAGATGTTTTAAATGTTACAATATTACTAAGATGTTTTTAATGTTACAATGTTATTTAGATGTTATTAAACGTTACAATATTACTTAGATGTTTTAAACTTTACAATGTTTCTTAGATGTTTTAAATGTTACAATATTACTAAGATGTTTTTAAACGTTACAATGTTACTTAGATGTTTTTAAACGTTGCAATGTTACTTTGATGTTTTTAAACATTACAATGTTACTTAGATGTTTTTAAATATTACAATATTACTTAGATGTTTTTAAACGTTACAATATTACTTAGATGTTTTTAAACATTACAATGTTACTTAGATATTTTTAAACGTTACAATATTACTTAAATGTTTTTAAACTGTTCAAAGTTACTTAGTTGATTGAAAATGTTAATAAGATGCTTTTAAACGTTGTAATGTTACTTAGATGTTTTTAAACAGTTAAGTGTTACTTAGATGTTTTAAGCATTATAATATTTAGATGTTTTAAATGTTACAATATCCCTTAGATGGTTTAAACATTAAAGTGTTACTGTAAATGTTTTTAAGTGTTACCAATTATACATTGGTGCTTTAGAATTTAGAGCAAAATATCCTTCCAATATGTGATATGTTAAAAAAAGAGGCTAATTTAACACTTGAGAAATACAGATATAGTATGATCGTTTGATAATGAGAATGCTAACAAACCATTGTTAGACCGATGTGTCAGTTCACTGGGTTCATTAACTAGCTGTTTTAGCTGAAGATACACTCATTTTACATGCTTTTTTAAAAGACCAATTCAAATTCAAGCCAAAATTTCCAGCCCCCTGCATGACCGGTGGATTAAACGGATTAATTCATTGTCAGGAGGTTGAGTGAATCCTGTGTGCTTCGCTAAACGATGTCAAAAGTGTACTTGAAATGTGGAGGTAATGATGCACTCAATGCTATCAAACCTGCAGCGGCTGCACAAAGAGAGTATTGCAATGCTAATGAAGAAATAATTAGTGCGCGCGTTTGGAAATGAAAAGGTCCAGGATAATTCCAGAGGACAAACAGCATTTCAAAATATCAAAGCTTTGAAGTTTCACCGTGTGTGTGTGCGTGTATTAGTGTGTGTACCTTGTATTCGTCACATTGTGGGGACAAAATGTTCCCACAAGTATAGCAATCCCAGTTTGTTGGTCCTGCAACAATGTCTTATAAATCAGATTGTACACTCAAAAACTATACTTATTTGAGTTGAAACAACACAATTTGTAAGTTATGTATTTTGTGCAATCCACCTAAGTTTGTAAAAGCGATTAAGTTAACTACAAGTGTGTGTGTGTGTGTTTGCAAGCAGTGAGTGGAATGAAAGGTGTGATGGCTGAAAGTGACCAGCAGATGGAGGAAATGCCATATAGCGCAGTGCTTCTCATTCTGGACAGTATTCACACACACACACACAAATTGTGGCTTAAAGTGTCTCCTAAATTATCTTAAAAATAACAGGCTTCAGTCCTATGCAGCACTAAATTGTTGCTAAATCAGTGAAATGTTATGACTAGTAAAAAACACTACTAAACCACCAAGACCAAATCACACACTATCAGCAGGGGTGGATTTAGTGATTTTGGGACCCTAAGCAATTCCAGCCTTGGGGCCCAAAGTCTTAATATGCACCCTTTGTATATATTTCTTTGTTTGTTTGGCTGACTTTTTCCTTCATTTGATCTTCTTTTCTGACTGCCGGACTGCCCTATTACTAGGGTGTGGGGGACAAATTTGCACAGACGTAATAATTACAATACAATACAGACCCTCAACCTTTTAAAATATGATAGAAAATGATCATTCATATATATATATATATATATATATATATATATATATATATATATATATATATATATATATATATATATATATATTTATATATATATATGAATAATATATAAGTAATCTAAAAGTATATATATAAATATATATATATAATAATTTATAGTTCTAATTTATACTTTTAGGTATTTCTTGGTGGCCCCAAATTTCCTGGGGCCCTACATGGCTGCTTACCTCACTTATTGGTTAAATTCACCCCTGACTATCAGGGCTTGGTTTACCTTTTTATGTGATGTAGGCATTTTATTTCATTTTTGATTAAATAACTGAGCCTAAAATACCAATAATGCGTAAACCTGCAATGCAAACCATCATCCGTTTATCATTTATAATTGCCTCTGGACTAAAGTGCTAATACTGCATTTATTTGCACACACATATTCTGGAGGTTGTCCTAAATTTCACATTTTCCAGTGATTATATCCTTGTTGATTATATCCTTGTTTTTAATCTTGTTTATATATATATATATATATATATATATATATATATATATATATATATATATATATATATATATATATATATATATATAAATTATATATTTTTCTATTTAAATTTTTTTATGTACAAAAAAGGCTTTAACTATATTTGCTAAAACATTATTCAAAATATATACATTCACCGGCCACTTTATTAGGTACACGTGTGCAACTGCTCGTTAACACATATTTCTAATCAGCCAATCACATGGCAGCAACTCAATGCATTTAGTCATGTAGACGTGGTCAAGACGGTCTGCTGCAGTTTAAAATGGGGAAGAAAGAGAATTTAAGTGACTTTAAACATGGCATGGTTGTTGGTGCCAGACGGGCTGCTCTGAGTATTTCAGAAACTGCTGATCTACTGGGATTTTCACGCACAACCATCTCTAGGGTTTACAGAGAATGATCTGAAAAAGAGGAAATGTCCAGTGAGCGGCAGTTCTGTGGGCGCAAATGCCTTGTTGATGCCAGAGGTCAGAGGAGAATGGCCAGACTGGTTTCAGCTGATAGAAAGCCAACAGTATCTCAAATAAGCACTCGTTACTACCGAGGTCTGTGGTTCACCACTGTGTCTCCATCTTCTGATGGCTACTTCCAGCAGGATAACGCATGCCATGTCATAAAGTGTGAATCATCTCAGACTGGTTTCTTGAACATGACAATGAGTTCACTGTACTTAAATGGCTTCCAGTCACCAGATCTCAATCCAATAGAGCACCTTTGGGATGTGGTGGAACGGGAGATTGGCATCATAGATGTGCAGCCGACAAATCTGCAGCAACTGCGTAATGCTATCATGTCAATATGGAGCAAAATCTCTGAGGAATATTTCCAGTAGCTTGCTGAATCTATGGCACGAAGGATTACGGCAGTTCTCAAGGCAAAAGGGGGTCCAACAGGTGTACCTAATAAAGTGGCCGGTGATCGTATAATGGCAGTGAATGGTGACAGGGTTTTTTAGATTAAAAATAAACCGAGTCCAAATCAGTAGTCATGACACACTGGGGTCTTGATGAAGCAAAATAATCACTCTGTGTAAGAAAACAAACTTTATTTACAATATTATTAGCATTAATCCATAGTGTGGACAAACAGTTCTCAGCGTAACAAACTGCGTCATCTGACCTCCCTTCCAAACATCCTCTTTTTTTTGTATTATTAAAGCAAATAATACAGTAACTAATGTTCATTTTCTTAGATGGAGCGATCGTTTCGCTTCACAAGACCTTAATGTGTCATTAGGAGCCAGGACTATTGATTTGTTCTCCTTTGTATGTGTTTATTTTTCATGTAAAAACCTGTCACCATTCACTGCCATTATATGAATCATCAACAGCCACAGACTCAGCTCAAAATCTTCTTTTATTGTTAGCCTTCCTATATATTTTCCCCCATTTTCTGTTTAAGGGAGAGAAGATAATTTTCAACACATTTCTAATCATAACAGTTTAATAACTCATCTCTAATAACTGATTTCTTTTCTCTTTGTCATGATGACAGCACATAATATTAGACTAGATATTCTTCAAGACACTAGTATTCAGCTTAAAGTGACATTTAAAGGCTTCACTAGGGTAATTAGGGTAAAGTTAGGGTAATTAGGCAAGTCATTGTATAACAGTGGTTTGTTCTGGAGACAATCCAAAACTAATATTGCTTAAGGGGGCGAATACTATTGACCTTAAGATGGGTTTAAAACTATTAAAAACTGCTTTTATTCTAGCCAAAATAAAACTAATAAGATTTTCTCCAGAAGAAAAAATATTAAAGGAAATACTGTGAAAAATTCCTGAATCTTTTCAGCATCATTTGGGAAATATCAGGGAAAAAATATTCACATGAATCCTTCTGACTTCATCTGTACATCTTAAATGACTAGTGGGTGAGTAAATTAACAATGGATTTTAATTTTTGGTTAAACTACCCCTTTAAACAAGAGCACTGATGTGGATCACCAGAAGCAGCAATGGAGTATCGTTGATGTGGTGAATAAAATCTCACCGCTGAGGAAATTGTAGATGATTGGATTGGCGGCGCTGTTGGCGTATATGAGCCAGTGGGAGAAGGTGAACCAGGCGTACACAGTCTCTCTGTTGCCTGTGTTCTTGAATGCGCCGAATACTCTGGTGGACGAAAAAATAAAATAAATAATACAAGCATCAAAAGCAGCCTCTGACATTCCCAATGAATAAAGCATTTATGTATGAAGCCGAGGTTTTTTTTTTAAATACAGCGGGAAACTGCTTTGACAAACAACATGAAGCTGGATTATTTATTTATTTATTTATTTTTTATTTTTTAAGCTTGCATTCATTCTCAGTATTCAATTCAATGATTGCTAACACTTTGTGATAAATAGTGTTGGGTGCACTGAAAAAATGGCTTTCTATTCCATATATATATATATATATATATATATATATATATATATATATATATATATATATATATATTATATATATTAGATTTTGTTGTTATATATATTCTATTATATTATTATATATATATTGTTATTATATAAAAATCTATATACAATTATATATAGATTTTGTTCTGCTTAACAGCAGAATAAAGAGAGAGATATTTTTTTGAGAAATTGTTATAACTTTTCTTGAAAGTCAATTTTACATAAAATAAGATTATTCTGCCTCTGAAAAAGCTCAGATGATGATGTCAAGGTTTGGAAGTTTCTGATTGGCTAATTGACAACATTTAAGTAAATTGGAGGCACAACTGTAGATAGTATTTTAGGAAAACCTCAAACACACTGCTTACTTGTGTGACAATGTGGGAAAATCAGCAAGCCGGAATCAACAAGATGATCCCACACTCAGTCACAGAGTCATCAAACTACATCTTTGTTTGTTGTGAATAATCGCCCTCTAGTGGACAAAATTCCCTACTGTGCCTTTAAGGAGCGGTATAATCAAACCTATAAGCAATCACACATCTAGCAGATGATAAAAGTGCTGAAAATATCCTACAAAATCTCTTTAATGCCCAAAGTTACATTTTGAAAAATCTCCACAAAGAAAACCTCTTGAGATTTGATGGACGTGCATGTCTGTTAAAACACAAGAGGTTTTCTGCGTGGAGATTTTTCAAAATATGACTTTGGGCCTTCTTATGCTTCCTTTATTGTAAAAATCTAGGTTTATATTGTGAGAAAAATAAAAGACACTTGAACGGAGATGTTCATTCATCATTAAGATGAATTCTTACAAAAAAAAAACAAAAAAACGGCACTAGACAGAAATGCATTAAAGAGTCTTGGTTTGCATAGAGCACAGAGTACAAAGAGCCCCGTAATTAACAGATATTATCACAGCCGTCCGTCTCACGCCTTCAGCGCTTCACATCACAATGCTCATGATAATGCAAACACCACCTCAACAGAAGAGTTTAAAAAGGTATTTTCATTTTTATTATATTACTAATCGTATTTTAGCATGGCAGGATTAGACAGGATACACCATTTTCTGCATTTATGTCATTTTTATTATTGATTGATTGACTGTCATATAGCATGATTATTTCATGTCACTGTCATGTCATGTCATTTCATTTATGTCACTGTTGCTAAAAATAACAAGTTTGTTGTGAGTAAAACAACATTTCGACAGTCTTCCTGAGGTCAAACAAGTAATCTAAAAAAAACCTAAAAAAGAGCAGATGTCGCTCTAGGCTAGTTTTTAACAGCAGATGTCGCTGTAGGCTAGTTTTTAACAGCAGATGTCGCTCTAGGCTAGTTTTTACAGCAGATGTCGCTCTAGGCTAGTTTTTAACAGCAGATGTTGCTCTAGGCTAGTTTTTAACAGCAGATGTCGCTCTAGGCTTGTTTTTAACAGCAGATGTCGCTCTATGCTAGTTTTAACAGCAGATGTCGCTCTAGGCTAGTTTTAACAGCAGATGTCGCTCTAGGCTAGTTTTAACAGCAGATGGTGCTCTAGGCTAGTTTTAACAGCAGATGTCGCTCTAGGCTAGTTTTTAACAGCAGATGTCGCTCTAGGCTAGTTTTAACAGTGACATAGGCTAGTTTTAACAGCAGATGTCGCTCTAGGCAAGTTTTAACAACAGATGGTGCTCTAGGCTAGTTTTAACAGCAGATGTCGCTCTAGGCAAGTTTTAACAACAGATGGTGCTCTAGGCTAGTTTTAACAGCAGATGTCGCTCTAGGCAAGTTTTAACAACAGATGGTGCTCTAGGCTAGTTTAAACAGCAGATGTCGCTCTAGGCTAGTTTTAACAACAGATGGTGCTCTAGGCTAGTTTTAACAGCAGATAGTGCTCTAGGCTAGTTTTAACAGCAGATGGTGCTCTAGGCTAGTTTTAATGGCAGATAGTGATCTAGGCTAGTTTTAACAGCAGATGGCGCTCTAGGTTATTTTAACAGTGGATGGCGCTCTAGGCTAGTTTTTAACAACAGATGGTACTCTGGTCTAGTTTTAATAGCAGATGGTGCTCTAGACTAGTTTTTTAACAGTAGATGGCACTCTAGTCTAGTTTTAACAGCAGATGGTGCTCTAGGCTAGTTTTAACAGCAGATGGTGCTCTAGTTTAGTTTTAACAGCAGATGGTGCTCTAGGCTAGTTTTTAACAACAGATTGTGGCGCTCGATAGTTTTCACAGCAGTAGGTTGCGCTCCACGGTAGTTTTCACAGCAGTAGCTGTCACTCCACGGTGGTTTTCACAGCAGTAGGTGACGCTCTAGGCTAGTTTTTTTTTACAGCAGATGGCCCTTTAGTTTTTAACAGAAGCAGTTGGTGCTCTAGACTAGTTTTAACAAATGTTTTTTTCACCACAACTTTTAGTACAGCACATAATTTTTGTTTGTTTTTTTGTCTCTGTATGTTGTGTTTTGACATTGTCGATTTATTTATTTGTTTGTCTCCAGTGTGTGATTGAGTGTCCGGGCGCTCACCTCTTCATGATGTTGAGGATGCTGATGGGCAGGTAGCAGAGGGCGAACACAAACAGCACCACCATCAGCATCCGTGCAGTTTTCCGCCGGGCTTTCACCTGCTTGGCCTCCGCTGACACTGTGCTGGTTCTCACCTTCACCGATTCTCCAGACCCGACCGCATGAGCCGAACACTGCAGAGACTTCCACTGCCTCTGGAGGACCGAAGACGACCCTGGAATCTGATTACAGGTCAAACACTGAACACTACAGGTCACCATGTTATGTACTCATGTTACAAATGTTACATGAGATCTGCTTACTGAGGGCGGCGATTAAGGCATGTTGCTGACAGGCTTGTGGGAACGGTGGGCGGGGAGGACTAGCCTTAAAGGCCCAGTGCAAAAAAACAGCAACCAGGTTTTACCAGTTATAAAACAGAAACTTCAGACAGCTATAATAAATACTCTGATGGGTGTTTTGAGCTGAAACTGTACAGACGCATTCTGGGGACACAAAAGACTTTTCTTAAATCTGGAAAAATGGGTAAGGTAGGTGCCCTTAGCTTTCTTTAAGATCTCCTATTGCATCTTTTGGGACGAAAAACACAGATACGCATTTTAGCACTCAATTCATAAAAGGAGCTTAAAATTGATGTCATTTCTTATGGTATTGATTAGACAAACACTGATTTAAAAACTGGGTTTTTAAATAATTAGTAAAACAGACAGGGACTGCTTTTTCATTCTGTGTCTTCTGGTAAACACGTTAGCTAAATCTCCGCGAATACTGGCCTCAAACAAATAAATAAATAAATAAAATAAAATAAAATAAAATAAATAAATAAATAAATAAATAAATAAATTGAATGAATGAATGAATGAATGAATGAATGAATGAATGAATGAATAAATGAATAAATAAATAAATAAATAAATAAATAAATAAATAATAAATTAGTAAGTAAGTAAATAAATAAATTAATTATTTAATTTATTTTTTTATTTATTTAATTTATTTAATTAATTAATTTTTTTTTGAAGGGTCTGGATTTATTTATCCAGATTTATTTATTTATTTATTTAATTTATTTAATTTATTAAATAAATAAATAAATAATAATTCCTTACATTTTTATAGCAGTTTTCTAGACAGTCAAGGTGCTTTACACATTGTGGTGAATCTCCTCATCCACCACCAGTGTGTAGCATTCACCTGGTAGATGCAAGGGCAGCTATATTGTGCCAGGACACACACCAGCTGATTGGTGGAGAGAAGCCAATTATAGTATTTGGATGGCTAGGAGGCCAAGATGGACAGAGGCCAGTGTGCAAATTTGGCCAGGATGCTGGAGTTAAACCCCTGCTCTTTTTTTGAAAGACATCGACCACAGAGACTCAGACCCTTGGTTTAACGTCTCATTCGAAAGACGATGCTCACTGAGCAGAATAGAGTCCCCTTCGCTATACTGGGGCATTAGGACCCACACAGACCGCAGATTGAGCTGGTCTCACTAACACCACCTCCAACAGCAACCTAGCTTTCCCATGTGGTCTCCCATCCTGTAGACGTGGCAGTCATACCAGCACAAAGCCTGACATGTGCACTTTTAAACGAGCCAACTCTTTTTGAAAACGAATGTTGTCAGTGTCCATTCATTTCTTTTAGTGATCTGTATGGAACAAAAGCAAAGGGAAATTCTCCGTCTGAACTCATTAGCCCGCTAATCAGTTCCCACCTCGTGAACACCCACAAACAAACACTGAGGGGCTGGTTACAAAGAAGTATGTGTGATTTTCAATGTCAGTACGCGATACGTGTCAGGAATACTTACATACCTGTTGACACCAGAGTTTATGGCAGATTTGAATGTATGCCAGGACCATCAAACACAGTGGAGCGAAATAAGTGACGATGAAGAAGCAGGTGTGGTAGACTTTAGGATAGATTTCATCTGCAGAAGAGAGAATCAAACAATAATATCAGTCAGCTGAACGTGAAAAATTAAAATAGAAAGGAGTCATGGTGGGTATTTTAGCACAGGAGAAACGCAATTGACCAATCCATTATTTCGACTTGACCCTTCATTATATAAATGAAATGTACCAGTGGCAGATATTACTGAATATTTCATTCTTATGATTTATATGCCTTCTACAAAATGATATTATATCTAATAACACCCATTGGTTAGATATATGAAAGCAGAGTCATTTCATTTTACACAGACATGTCTATTATATATGAGTTACATTATTGTCAATCTCAGCCACAGAGAGCAGATTTGGATCATATTCCTTTATAGTAAGGGAATAGTTTATTAACTAATATTAAATATAGTTAGAGGCATCACAGTGGCGCAGTGGGTAGCACGTTCACCTCACATTAAGAAGGTCGCTGGTTCGAGCCTCGGCCGGGTCAGTTGGCGTTTCTGTGTGGAGTTTGCATGTTCACACCGTGTTGGCATGGGTTTCCTCCGGGTGCTCCGGATAATTGAATAAACTAAATTGGCTGTGAATGCAAGAGTGTATGGGTGTTTCCCAGTACTGGGTTGCAGCTGGAAGAGCATCCACTGCGTAAAACATATGCTGGATAAGTTGGCGTATCATTCCGCAGTGGCGACCCCTGATTAATAAAGGGACTAAGCTGGAAAGAAAATGAATGAATGAATGAATGAATGAATGAATGAATGAATGAATGAATGAATAAATGAATGAATGGATGAACTAGTTAGTGAATGCTGACAGGTATTAGTTCACGCTAGTAAATGAAATAACTAACTAATTAAACGGGGGCTCACAGTGGCTCATTTGTCAGCTTCATTGCCTCATAGCAAAGAAGGTAGCTGGTTCGAGTCCCAGCTGGGTCAGTTGGCATTTCTGCGTGGAGTTTGCATGTTCTCCCCGTGTTCAGTCCAAACGCATGCACTATAGGGGAATTGAATTGGCTAAATTGGCCGTAGTGCATGAGTGTGTGTGGGTGAATGAGTTTGTATGGGTGTTTCTCAGTACTGGCTTGCGGTTGGAAGGGCATCCGCTGCATAAAACATATGCTGGAATAGTTGGCGGTTCATTCCGCTGTGGCGACCTCTGAAATGGAGACTAACCCAAAGGAAAATGAATGATTACATCTTTGGAAAGTCACCATACAGATAGCTGTGCAAGTGTGTGTGTGTGTGTGTGTGTGTGTGTGTGTACATGTTTTTGTGACATATCAGGACACAAATCTGTATAATGACATGGGTATGACACAAGTATTACACAAAGCAGGTGAAATATGAGGACATTGGTGACGTCCTTGTTTCTCAAAATGCTTATAAATCCCACAGGACGAGTTTAATCATAGAGTAAAGCTGCACACTGACTCCTGTGATGGTTGGGTTTAGGGGTGGGGTGGGGTGGGGTGAGGGCAATATAATTTACAGTTTGGGCTGCATAAAATGAATGGAAGTCTATGTAATGTACCCATTTTTCACAAAAAAAAACGTGTGTGTGTGTGTGTTTTCTGTGAAATTTAAAAAGCATTTTTTTAATGTATAGTTCAGAGATTATTGACGGGAAAGTATGGGGAGCAGAGAGAGGGGAAGAATCGGCATAGGACCGCGAGGCGGGATTCGAACTCGGGTCGCCGTGAGCACCAGAGTGCATGTGTCAATGCACTAACCACTACAGCACTGGCGCCGACTTGTTTTGAGTGAAATGAAAGTGAGTAAATGATGCTTTCCCAGAGTTTCATCTAAAATTGTTGCATAAAGCATCTTATATAAGCTTAATTTAATCCCATAGCATAATACAGATATACATAATCAGCAGTAAAACCAATCATGTGAAAATGAAAGCCGAAAACTCAAGGGAAGGTGTGTGATTTTGCAGGTACTTTTGAGGATGGCAACCTGATTTTATGTTTTCTTTCATGCAACCTAATGTCTCATTTCCATAAAAAGCTGCAAATGAGAAATTATGATAACAAAGCATAATTTAATGGAGACAGAAATGTGCTGTGAAGCGTCTCGCCATTGTCACAGTTTAGATTATCACTGAAAATAGAAGATGTTGCTGAATTTGACACATGAACTATTATATCTGGCGTCTGCATGAAGGCAGTAACAGTGTAGTGCACTCAGATGTCTTATTATCAGTCTTCCCATTTGATCAAACATCCCATGGAGAGTAACAAATACGGCTGAAGTCAGAATTATTAGCCCCCCTGTATATATTCTCCCCTGTTTCTGTTTCTCAGCACATTTCTAAACTAAATAGATTTAACTGATTTATTTTCTCTTTGCCATGATGACAGTAAATAATGTTAGACTAGATATTCTTCAAGACACTAGTATTCAGCATAAAGAGACATTTAAAGGCTTCACTAGGGTAATTAGGGTAAAGATAGTGTAATTAGGCAAATCATTGTATAACAGTGGTTTGTTCTGGAGACAATCCAAAACTAGTATTGCTTAAGGCGGCGAATAATTCATTCATTCATTCTTTTTTTTTCAGCTTAGTCCCCTTATTAATCCGGGGTCGCCACAGCAGAATGAACCGCCAACTTATCCGGCAAGTTTTAACGCAGCGGATGCCTTTCCAGCCGTAACCCATCTCTGGGAAACATCCACACACTTATACACTACGGACAATTTAGCCTACCCAATTCACCTGCACCGCATGTCTTTGGACTGTGGGGGAAACCGGAGCACCTGGAGGAAACCCACGCGAAGGCAGGGAGAACATGCAAACTCCACACAGAAACACCAACTGAGCCGAAGTTCGAACCAGCGACCCAGCGACGTTCTTGCAGTGAGGCGACAGCACTACCTACTGCGCCACTGCCTCACCTGTGGGGCTAATAATATTGATTTTAAATAAATTAAAAACTGCTTTTATTCTAGCCAAAATAAAAACAAATAAGACTTTCTGCAGAAGAAAAAATACTAAAGTAAATACTGTGGAAATTTCCTGAATCTGTTCAACATAATTTGTGAAATATTGGAAATCACAGGTTTCCCAGAGATGGGTTGTGGCTGGAAGGGCATCCGCTGCGTAAAAACTTGCTGCATAAGTTGGCGGTTCATTCCGCTGTGGCGACCCCGGATTAATAAAGGGACTAAGCCAACAAGAAAATGAATGGAAATCACAGGAGGGCAAATCATTCTGACTTCAACTTTTATTGTTCAAATCAAAACTCAAAACCCACTTATTTAAGATGACTTTAAAAACTTAATTTTATTTGCACTATTGCTGTGTATATTTTATTATTTCTCTTGTTTTATTATTTTTGTTGATTGTACGGTGTCCTTGAGTTGCTAGAAAGGCGCCTTTAAATAAAATGTATTATTATTATAATTAACTGTGTCTTCCAATGTGTCTCAGTCTGTTTAGGTTGACAGCGCGGGTTTCATCACAGTAATTGTGCGGTAGCTCTGGGGGGAACTTTATAAAGTTGTAGTTTAGCAGGATGTGACAACCGGACCCTCCAGGAATTCTGTGAAACTTTATTTATTGTGATTGGCTCTGAGTATGATGATTTGTTCAGGTACCTGTGGGTAAATCCAAGCCCACAACCTGCGCTGGCGGCACGGCTTCACAAAGGGCCAAAAATTGCTTTGGCTGTCAGACTGTCGGCTTTACAACAGATTTGATTCATTATGGTCGACGGAGAGCGCTGCCAAGAAGAAAAAAAAACTGACAGAACTTCAAAATCTTGGGTGAGAATTATTGAGAAGACACTTTTAAGGGACTTTTAATGTCTGCAGCCCCCAAAGAGACTGATTTTACTTTTATCTCATATTTAGAGCGCTGCAGCGTATATGATGAGCTTAAATCAAATCGGGCATCTCTGATGTGTCGAAATATGTTTCAAAACTTGTCAAAATGGCTTATGTCAACTTTATCTAATGCATATACGCTGTAATATGCTGCCTGACGTAATGAGCACACATACACACACTTGTCAATATGGTTTACGGGGACATATGATAATGTTTTATGGTGTATAGAATTATGCACTTTTATACACTCATCGGCCACTTTATTAGGTACACCTTACTAGTACCGGGTTGGACCCCCTTTTGCTCCATATTGACATGATAGCATCACGCAGTTGCTGCTGATTTGTCGGCTGCACATCCATGATGCCAATCTCCCGTTCCACCACATACCAAAGCTGCTCTATTGGATTGAGCTCTGGTGACTGTGGAGGCCATTTGAGTACAGTGAACTCATTGTCATGTTCAAGAAACCAGTCTGAGATGATTGAGCTTTATGACATGGTGTGTTATCCTGCTGGAAGTAGCCATCAGAACATGAGTACACTGTGCTCATAAAGGGATGGACATGGACAACAACAATACTCAGGTAGGCTGTGGCGTTGACACAAGGCTCAAGTGGTACTAATGAGCCCAAAGTGTGCCAAGAAAATCTCCTCCACACCATTACACCACCACCTGAACCGCTGATACAAGGCAGGATGGATCCATGCTTTCATGTTGTTGAGGGCAAATTGTGAGCCGAGCATCTGAATGTGTCAGCAGAAATGGAGACTCATCAGAGCAGGCAACGTTTTTCCAATCTTCTACTGTCCAGTTGTGGTGAGCCTGTGTGAATTATACCCTCAGTTTTGTACTGTCGCATGAGATTCCCGCTTTTTTAAAGATAAATATTTATAACATTAATGCACATCAGTAACTCGCCAGTAACTTATTTACCACATCCTGTAAGAAAGCATTGTAAATAATAGAAAACAATAATCAAGCCCTTGGGAACAACTGTGGTCGGAATCAAAGTTCACAGGTCTGTGTTCTCTGAACTCCTCTCAAGCGGTGGACTTCTTCATTTTGACTGCTAGCCGCCGAACCACGTCATAGCTCATTACCATAGAGCTGACTTGATTTCAACTCTCCTCGAGGCCCACACAGATGCACCGCACTGCTCCTCACCGCCGGCTCTCATTGAAAATGAATGACTTCTGGCTACTTTAACACTCTCGCCGCTTTCAATTTGAACGTGCGATGATTCAACTGCAGTACTTAGTAGTAGGCAATTTCAGAATCAACCCTAAACTATAACAGCGAACATTCCAATGGAATTCTGAATGGGTGATGTCATAATCTATGTGTTCCATATTGGAAAACGGTGCCATAATGAACGTCTTCTCATCCATCAAATCCTTTCCTCATTGGAGATTAATGTTTGACCCAATAATGATTTCCGGGCCCTTTCCTCTGCCACCTCCACCTTACAGGCCCTGCTGTCAGTGTAGGATAACTGACTCACTGGGGCCCTTTGTGAGGCTCATCAGGAGGGTCGGCCCACGTCTCTCATCAGGGGGCCGCTCTCCGCCTCTGAAGTCTTTTCATCTGTGTGATGGTGTCTTTAGCTCAGCATGGCAATGATCAATGAAGACCGATTTAATCTTTAAAGCCAATATGCTGCACAGCGCTAGAAATATCAGGATTCATACAAGAGTTTGAGTCGTTTTAACTCTCATAACGTGCAGTTCAAGATGGTATATGCCGGAAAAAAAACTGTGCCTTTGGGCCCCATTGCTGCTTCTGACTATATTCAGAGTTTAGAAAACTGATAAAATCATTAATTTATAATGTAATAATAATGTTTTAAGCATTGGAAAATAGTGAATTCATAATTAGTTATAAATTAACTCTACATAAAATGTAATAATAATAATAATATAATAATAATAATGGAAATATTAATAATAATAATAATATTATTGATAATAATATTATTAATATAAATAATGACAATAATAATTATTATGATTATTATGATATAAATAATAATCATCATCATAGTAATAATAATCATAGTAATAATAATAATAACAATAATAATAATAGTAATAATGATAATAATAGTAATAATAATAATAATAAAAATAATAATAATAGTAATAATAATAATAACAATAATAATAATAGTAATAATGATAATAATAGTAATAATAATAATAATAATAGTAATAATGATAATAATAGTAATAATAATAAAAATAGTAGTAATAATAATAATAAAAATAGTAATAATAATAATAACAATAATAATAATAGTAATAATGATAATAATAATAATAATAATAATAATAATAATAATAATAATAGCAATAATAATAATAGCAATAATAATAATAATAATAATAATAACAATAATAGTAATAATAATAGTAATAATAGTAACAATAGTAATAATAATAATATTAATAATAATAATAATATTAATAATAATAATAATAATAATAATAATAATAATAAATAGTAGTAATAATAATAATAATAATAATAAATGTCCTTGGTCTGATAAACATCATTTAGGAAATATTTATAAAAAGAATAAGATTTTCATAGGTAGGCGAATAATTCTGACTTGATTCTCATAACAGTAAACTGAGCTGATTTAATCTGTAACATATTATATAGTCTATTATTTAGGTCTGTTAGTTATTTATCAAGTTTATTACTTAATTAGTCTATTAGGTATTTATCTATTCTATTAGTTCATTTTCTAGTCTATTAGTTACTTATCTATACTATTAGTTATGTCTATTAGTTCATTATCTTGTCTATTAGTTCATTATCTAGTCCATTAGTTATTTATCTAGTCTATTAGTCCGTTATCTAGTCCATTAGTTGTTTTTCTAATCTATTAGTTAGTCTCTAGACTTCAGTCTCTAGTTTTTTTTTTATTTAAAACGACACATCTAAAACCCATCTGCAGAAAGAAGATGACTTCAGCACAGAGAAGCTTGAGTTGCAATTGAATCTGATTGTCTCTCTCTTTCTCTCTCACTGCTCACACAGCAGAAATAAATGGCCTGTCTAAAATGTTTAATGGCCTGTGTGGACAGGAGATGCTCACCTGGCCACTGCTCATCACAGACGGTGAACAGGCTGGTTTTGTTGGTGAGCTCCGGCATCAGGCTGCTGCTCTCCATCACCACGGCCTGGGGGATCATCATGATGCAGGACACCAGCCAGATCAGCACGATGCTCTTGCGGGCTCTTTTAGCAGTGCTTTTGAATTTTAGCGGGTGGCAGATCGCATACCAGCGGTCCTGGGCAATGCAGCTCAGTGTCAGGACCGATACGGACACTGAGATGGTCTGCAGGATAACACACATGCAAAGATAGAGAGGACAATTAAAGAGTTATATGTGGAGAAATAACCAGTGTTGGGGAAAAATTATGTTAGAAAAAAATTCACAAAGCTAACTTCAACTTAAATATTTAAGTTTACTATTAATATTTAATTATTCAAATGTATAAATATTTCACAAGTGATGTTCAATAGACTAAGGACATGTTCACAGTATCTCCTTTAATATTTCTTTTTTCTTCTAAAATAAGGTAAATCGACATAAAAATCTTTGTGGCCTTGACTTGTTGTCATTATATTTTTTACGATTAGTTTGGCTGAAATAATATTTTTTAAAAGCCTCTATTATGGGTTTGTGAAAACCATCTTCTATGCAGTGTGCAACAAAGCTCTACGTGAATAAAATGTTGAAATGTGAAAGTGCACCGAGTTTAAAATGATTGATTCCTCCCAAACAATAGAGTTGACTGAAAGTTGTTGATATGAATCGTCCTGATTTCAAAACTTAAGCCGCTTCATGTTGACCTCGATACAAAACAATACCATATAAGATGCACTGGATCCGGGAAAACTGCAACCTGCCCTTCCCTTCAAACCCTAGCAGATTAATCATTGATAAAGCAGTGATAAGATATAGCTAAGAGTGATCCTGATCAACTTTACGAAAGTATGACTAAGGAGGGTATACTCAACTAAAAAAGTGTTGGGAAACACATATTAACGCTGAGATACTGCTGTAGATACATCTTACTTAACTATACTTAACGACTTAAAGAGGGTATACGTAACTACTTAACGATTTAAAGAGAGTATACTTAACGTCTTAAAGAGGGTATACATAACTATATTTAACGACTTAAAGAGGGTATATTAACTATACTTAACAACTGAAGGAGGATATACTTAACTATACTCAACGACTTTTAGATTGTATAGTGAACTATACTTAATGACTTCAAGAGGGTATACTTAACTATACTTGATGACTTCAAGAGGGTATACTTAACTATACTTAATGACTTCAAGAGGGTATACTTAACTATACTTAATGACTTCAAGAGGGTATACGTAACTATACTTAACAACTTAAAGAGGGTATACTTAACTATACTTAATGACTTAAAGAGGGTATACTTACTATACTTTTTGACTTAAAGAGGGTATGTTAACTATACTTAACGACTGAAAGAAGGTATACATAACTATATTTAACGACTTAAAGAGGGTATGCGTAACTACTTAACGATTTAAAGAGAGTATACTTAACGTCTTAAAGAGGGTATACATAACTATATTTAACGACTTAAACAGGGTATACGTAACTATACTTAACGACTTAAAGAGGGTATACATAACTATATTTAACGACTTAAACAGGGTATACGTAACTATACTTAACGACTTAAAGAGGGTATACGTAACTACTTAACGATTTAAAGAGGGTATACTTAACGACTTAAAGAGGGTAAACTTAACTATACTTAACGACTTAAAGAGGGTATACGTAACTACTTAACGATTTAAAGAGGGTATACTTAACGACTTAAAGAGGGTATACATAACTATACTAAACAACTTAAAGAGGGTATACTTAACCATACTTAACGACTTGAAGAATGTGTACTTAACTATACTTCTACGACTTAAATAGGGTATCCTTAACTATCCTTAATGACTTAAAAATGGTATACTTAACTATACTTAACGACTTGAAGAAGGTATACTTTACTATACCTCCATGAACGGGATATACAAAACTATACTTAACGACTTAAAGAGGATAAACTTAACTACACTTAACGACTTAAAGGTAAACTTAACTAATCTCACCAACTGAAAGAGGGTACACTTAACGACTTAGAGGGTATACTTAACTGTACTTAACTTAAAGAGGGTATACTTAACTATATTTAACAACCTAAAGATGGTATACTTAACAATACTTAACGGCTTAAAGAGGGTATACTTAACTACACTTAACGACTTAAAGAGGGTATACTTGACTAGACTTAACAATTTTAAGAGGGTATACTTAACGACTCAAAGAAGGTATACTTAACTATGCTTGACTTAAAGAGGGTATACTTAAATATACTTAACTATATTTAACGACTATAGAGGGTATACTTAACTTACAAATTGTTGGGAAACACATTACATTGCTAAGGTAGCTTAAAGGTACAATAATGATGTAGCCTTAAGGAGGTCTCAAGAAACGCAGTCTCGAACCCCATTTAAAATCAGCAAATCAGATGACATTTTTTATCACTGGGTGTTCTGTGCAAATTGACCAATTTCTGACAGCCATGCCTTTGAAGCGCTTTACATTGCATGTGTTTGAATGCTTTTGCATCACATCTGTATAAAAAATGAGGAACTACTTTGATGTTCTGGCTTTGCTCTAAACGTCAACTGGAAGACGTTTGAGTCAAAGTGTCTGGCGCGCATTTGTAAGATGCAAACATCCTACATTATATTGGAATCAATCAAGCAGCACTCTCTCTGTGAAAGTCAAAATGCGTGAAAGTGATTAGAAACGAGCGACTTTCTTCAGGCTCATATCAACACTTGGCTTTGGCTCACAGCTGCTCCTTCAGTCTTCATAACTTCAAAACTCGCATTAATATTCAGTGAACCGACGAGGGATGATAACCGAGCATAGAGAAGAAACAATGGTACTTGTAGCTTTCAGATGGTGACAGCTGAGATATTACAGTCTGTCCTTTACTCGGTGTTTACAGGACAAGTTTGAGAAAATGTGTTCTTGATGTAACACACGCAGGCTCATTGGAAAATGTGCATTTTTGCGAAATTGCAAAAACTGAATTAAATATACAGTACATTATCTTTAGTTTCAGAGTAAAATGAACACTAGGGGGCAGTGTGACAACAACTTTCATTCCTTTTCACACTAATGATATTTACAGAGGCATAATATCGAAGAATTAAGGATTGTTTTCATGCAGTTCTTTGCACAATACCAAATAAACAGCACAAAACAGCTTAACGAATGAATAATGAATATGTTTGTGTCACCCATCTATCTCTATATGGACATTTCTGGTGTGGTCGTAGCCCGCTTTGTATGATGTTTGTGCTGCAAAGTGCTCAGGTTTGAGTGCAGTAAAGCACGCTTCCACAAGAGAGATAAAAGTAATGTAAAATCAAGGTAAACCATGTGTTCCCAGTGTACTTCTGTCTGTTTCTGAAAACACTATCGGTTGGGTTTAGGGAATGGACACTTTTCTGGTGTGGTCATTTTGCTCGTAGCCTACTTTGTGTGGTGTGTGTGCTGCAGAGTGCTCAGGTTTGAGTTTAGTGAAGCACGCTTCCACAAAAGAGATAAAAGTAATGTAAAATCAAGGTAAAGTAGGTGTTCGCAGTGCCTTTTTCTGTTATGTCTGTTTCTGAAAACACTATTGGTTGGGTTTAGAGAAAGGTTTAGCTCAGTGGTTTGCTAGCTGATCTGTACGACGAGGTCCGCTTAAGTCTTAAGTAACATTTCAGATTTACAAAAAAAATGTAAACAGCACCCTCTGGTGGATTTGTCATCTGAAACATGAATGAAAATGTAATCGGAGGAATGTATTTTTTGTTTCACAACAATGTTGGATGAGGCATATATTTGCAATGAGCCTGTGCTGTTTAAAATAGACTAAAGCAGCATGGTGTCGTCTCTAGAAGCTTCATAACTTCCGTCTACAGCTAAAAAAAAAAAAATAATGTAATCAGATTTGATTTTTAGGGAAACAAAAAAAAAGGTCAAATGTGACCAAATCCTGCAACATGAGTCACAGTGACACAACTTTTAAAATTGAGATTTGGCATCAATATTAGTATTGAATCTTTCTGGAGCGATCTGATTAGCTTGTTTGCGCTGAGCATGTAGGGACCGGTGCAGCCTTCCTGCGGTTGCATAGCCCTCCCGGTAGCTGACGCTAAAGCGCACCTTTAAAAAAAATTGAAACTACACGTCACAATGGCACCTATCGCAAGCTCTGTGATTGGTCGGCTTGTTAGTGACGAGCGTGGGTGGTGCTGAGAGCCGTGAGCCCAGTGGAGCGACTGTTTACAGTTGTAGAGTGCCGTGAAGGAACTCCAGATGAAAACTTTTTTGTGTTTATTTTAAGATTAAATTTGATGCACGTTTGCTGAAACGAGCGAGTTTTAGCTACTTGACACTTTGAGACAAAATTAAACACTCCACACAGAGCAACATAAAAACATACTTCCAGCTAGCATTTCGAGAGTGTTATTGCAGAGCAACACAAACAGCATGCAGAAGGATAAATGAACAACAACAAGCGTGGGTGGAAACCAGCCTCTAGTCTGACAGGAGGATGGCTGGCCTGTTAGATTGAAACAGAGCTTCCCTTTGACAAATGATCATCCTTCGTCACTTTTTTTATGTTCAATCCTAACCTTTTTAATTGCTTTTATACAATGTTACAACTATATTTGAATAGCAAAGATATTAACGTTTCGCGGGATACCCGGAATGTAGAGTAAGTGACGAGAGAAGTTGAGAAAAGCAATGTTCATTTCTAGCGAATTTAGTAAAACAACTTTGATAGTCATTTAAATACCTTTACTTGAGGATTAAGGCTACAAAACTTTATGAGATTATTTTTAAATGCCAGTTCTGTGAAATTAGCTAAAAAAGGAAAATGTAATCGGTCTGTATCTTAAATTATGCTGCGTTCACACCAGACGCGGAACGCACGTCAAGCGCATGATTTACATGTTAAGTCAATGCAAACGTGCGAATGAACATCCTGCGGCACGATATGCGTGAATTGCTTGGCACGTATGACGCGTATTGCGCGAATGGCGCGGTGCGATTGGCGCGTTACTCGTTTCACACAAATCACTCGAGTTCGAAAATCTGAACTTTAGCGGACATTCGCTATTTAGTGGACATCCACATTCATTCCACGTCTGGTGTGAACGCAGCATTAGAACTGTGTGACTTCCGATTCATTTCTCTATCGGCGTGAAAGATCCCCAAAGCTGCCTCAATACACAAATATAAACCATTCAAAACTTTCTTTTGAAACAGATTCTAAGTTAATGTAACCCACCAGTCCTACTGCATCCTACTGCTAAGCTGGGATCGAAACAGTGATTCTTTGCATGAGAGTCTGTTGCTCTGACAAGAGGCTCAAGACCATGGCCTCTAGCGTCTACCGCTAGAGCACCTTTAGAGTTCAGAGGAGTGAAATCTATCTGCATATCACTTCGCTAGCTGGCCTTCGTTACAATCGGAGAAACTTTTTGCCAAAGTAGATTCTTTACCTGTAGGTAAGGCAGTATTTTGCACAGGGTCTGTCCGAAGAACCATGTTTCGGTGATGTCCACCACAAGACTTGCAGGAAGACACGTGATGGTGACCAGGATGTCTGCGAAGGACAGGTTCACGATGAAGTAGTTGGTCACTGTCCGCATGTGATGGTTTTTCCAAACTGCAAAACAAACTGAAAAGAAAGACGCCTTGACAAAAATCAGCTGGGCAGCAACTTTTGGTACACTTAAAGGCCACTAGAGGGCGCATATTCACAACAGACAAAGACGTAGCTTAATGAGGGCGTGAATGAGTGTGAAATCAGGAGTTGTGACTTTCATCATCCTGCAGAACTCCTGCAGACTCATGTTGATGGATGATTAAACTATTCCAACACTTCTAAAGAATCTAAAATCTAAAAAGAGATTTAAGGGACCTTGTGTGCAATGGAAAGTTTCTGCTAATGTTTAACTTTCTTCATGAAATCATTGATAACAACTGATGGAAATAATCTGATGTTAAATTGGTCAGAGGCTGCATACAAAAGCTTTAAATTAATCCCTTAAGAGGCAGCATTCCAAGGCAGCAAGGCATCAAGGCAAGTCTGAATGCAATTTCTGCTTCACTTTCTGTCTCTGGAGGTTCCTTCATCTGGATTTTGAAGGCAGCATAAATGTATCCTTCACTGCCTTCAATCTGCCAGTCCTGCCACAGTTTTCCATTTCTGACAGCTGAGGTGTCTCTCAAAGGGCTGCTTATTTGTCATTTTGTGTAAGAATATCCATTTTTGACCAATGGTTTCCACTTTTTTAGGAAGCACTTAGTATTTGTAGTAAGCAAATATTCTATTGGTTATCAGTGAGGCTCTCTGTATTTTGGTGTAAATGATTATATTGTTCTGCTGTCTCCGATGTCTGTCTATAATTAGCTTTGTGAGGTGCCTTCATGAACAAGTACTGCTTCCAGAGTCACTGAGAGGCAACAAGTCAGAAGCTTAAGCTTTCAACTTCACAGCCAGAATCTTCAAGTTTTGAAAGTGATAATTTCATTTGAACAGATATTATAAATTTATTATTGCAATAACATATGCTGAAATACACTACCTGACAAACGTCTTGTCGCTTATTCAAGTTTCAGGAACAACAAATAATATCTTGACTTCTAGTTGATCATTTGATATCAGAAGTGTCTTATATGAAATCCAAAGGCCTCTAGATTACACTTATTTGATCACAATTGAATATGATCATGCCTTGATTTTCTATGATTTCATTAAGATTGTAAGGTATGACTTTGTTTATGTTTGGATCGGCAAATAAAGTGTTCTTGCAGGACTCCCAGAGTTCCTCAACATTCTTTGGATTGATCTTCAATGCCTCCTCCTTCATCTTACCCCAGATATGCTCAATAATGTTCATGTCTGGTGACTGGGCTGGCCAATCCTTGACAGCTTGACCTTCTTGGCTTTCAGGAGCTTTGATGTGGAGGCTGAAGTATGAGCAGGAGCGCTATCCTGCTGGAGAATTGTCCCTCTCCTGTGGTTTGTAATGTAATGGGCAGCACAAATGTCTTGATACCTCAGGCTGTTGATGTTGATCATCCACTCTGCAGATCTCTCGCACGCCCCCATACTGAATGTAACCCCAATCCAGGATTTCTCCTTCACCAAACTTGGCTGATTTCTATGAGAATTTTGGCTCCATGCTGGTTCCAGTAGGTCTTCTGCAGTATTGGTGATAATTGGGATGCAGATCAACAGATGATTCATTGAAAAAAATCGACCTTCTCCTAATGATCAACAAGAGGTCAAGTTATTATTTGTTGCTCTTAAAACTGGGACCGACAACATCAACAACGTGTGGCTTCTATAACCAAAATAATAATAATAACAACAACAATAAAGTATTCTGAGATCTGGGCATCTGAGTTCTGAGAAGCGTATAGAAAATTAAAGAGCAAGGCCTTGGGAGCATGTGCTGAAACACAGAAGACCAATACTGCCCTTATAAAGGCAGAGTCCAGAATCTATGCAAGCACTGAGACTGAACAAACAGCCTTTCAAACTTTTACACCAGCTTGGATTTTGCTGTCGCTGCAATTTATAATGAAATGATTGGCCTTTGTGGTCCATAAGAGCAGGAGAACTTCCAGAGACGATGTCACGAGTTACAGAGAGTAGGCTGGAGATTGTATTATGACAGCAGCAGATGGTTTTGCTGATAAGTAAAGGTCAAACAAGCACATCCATTATGTCACTAATCTGTTTTACAAGATGTTTTCTCCACCTAATTAGGTTAGGGTTGAGGCCTGGGTCATGTCTACCTGACCTGTGAAGCACAACAGGTGAATTTCGAGTAGGTACGCGTTGTGTTTAAGAGCGTCTAGTACAAAATCAAAGACATACACGACATATTTCAAATGTCAAGCTACAGAAAACACCCAAATAACAGACTGTGTGTGTGGATAAGTTAATCCAGTGTGTGTGGATGAGTTAATCCAGTGTGTGTGGATAAATTAATCCAGTGTGTGTGGATAAATTAATCCAGTGTGTGTGGATAAATTAATCCAGTGTGTGTGGATAAATTAATCCAGTGTGTGTGGTTAAGTTAATCCAGTGTGTGTGGATAAATTAATCCAGTGTGTGTGGATAAATTAATCCAGTGTGTGTGGTTAAGTTAATCCAGTGTGTGTGGATAAATTAATCCAGTGTGTGTGGTTAAGTTAATCCAGTGTGTGTGGATAAATGAATCCAGTGTGTGTGGATAAATGAATCCAGTGTGTGTGGATAAATTAATCCAGTGTGTGTGGTTAAGTTAATCCAGTGTGTGTGGATAAATGAATCCAGTGTGTGTGGATAAATGAATCCAGTGTGTGTGGATAAATTAATCCAGTGTGTGTGGTTAAGTTAATCCAGTGTGTGTGGATAAATGAATCCAGTGTGTGTGGATAAATGAATCCAGTGTGTGTGGATAAATTAATCCAGTGTGTGTGGTTAAATTAATCCAGTGTGTGTGGTTAAATTAATCCAGTGTGTGTGGTTATTAGTCTCGGTGTACAAGCTTGGAACTTTAAACTAGCACACAGCTGGCATAACTTTGTTTAGTTGTCGCAGTTTTGATCCGTGCAGAAACAATGCGTTGAGAAGCCTTTATGTTTGATTAACCGTGACGAATTAAAGCGCGATTAATAGTGAAACCGGTTAATCGTTGCATCCCTATTTGGATAACAAATGCATCTTTACATATCGGCTGTAAAACTAAACAAAGACACAATAATCGTGTAACTACCACTCTGACATATTCTGGCACATTAGGAACATTGATTCCTCAACAGTCGCCTCTGCTTGGTGTGTCCGGGTCGTACATATACGGCTGAATGCTGATCCTCTCACTCATGTTGCTTCTCTCTGTCTGCCTGTCTGGTGCCAAACACATAGTAGGGGAGCTCTTGGCTCCACCCCCTTGTTAAGTTGGGCGGGAAGTCGTGACTAATTTTCATGTGAAGCAACACGCCCCTAAAACGACGACGGTGTACACGCCCCCAACACGACACTATTTAACACATTATAATTAACAAATCTGAACTGTGCTTTGAAATTAACCTAAACTGGCAAACCCAGAATAACCATAATATTAATAATAAATCTTTATAAAGGGGTAAAATAGGTGCCCTTTAAAATAAGAAAAGTATAACTAAACATTCAATCATTAATTTTCTGTCAGCTTAATCCCTTATTTATCAGGGGTCTCCACAGCAAAATGAAATTTATTTAGCATTTAATTAAAGTTTCCAATGCTATTTCACAGAAATAAACAGGAGATAAAAGCAACCCATAAGACTGATTCAGCTTCTGTAGTAAAACAGCTCTAAAATATAGTCATTATTCAGCTTGAGTGGCTCATTTCAGCTCAATAGATGTCGATGTAAATTTGTCATACATAAAAATAATTTGATTTATTTATACAGCAGAAGACAATACTGTCATATATCAGCTCAACTGAGTTCAAGTTTCACTGTCATCTAATAGTGCCACTGCTGGGAAACGGATATTATTACTGAATGTTAATTGTCATTTAACCCCAGAGCAAGCCAAAGGCAACGGTGGGAAAAAGCACAAACTTTATCAGGTGACAGATATGGAGAAGGAAAAAGCTTGAGAAAAACAGGCTCAGTCAGATCCTCTTCTCCTCAGGTCAAATGTAAAAGTAACCCAGTGTCATGTTTCAGAAATATGACCACACGAGCACTTTATTTAGCTCTTTGCTGCAAAAACAAAAAGGTACACGGGTTAAATTTGTGAATTATTGCTTCACTTGGACAATTTTCAGCTAACAAGCTTAAATAGACGACAGTACTGTAGTCAAAAAATCCAACCCACCACCTAAATCTATGAATTCCAGGCTATCAATCTTGTTTCTGAATAATGCGCAGGTTAGTGTATACTCCATCAGCCGTTTTTGACTGTTTGGCGCCATCTAGTGTCTGAATGATGCGCAGGTTAGTGTATACTCCATCAGCTGTTTTCATTTCTGTCAACTTTGTGTTTTTGGCTGTTTGGCGCCATCTAGTGTCTGAATAATTCGCAGGTTAGTGTATACTCCATCAGCTGTTTTCATTTCTGTCAACTTTGTGTTTTTGGCTGTTTGGCGCCATCTAGTGTCTGAATAATGCGCAGGTTAGTGTATACTCCATCAGCTGTTTTCGTTTCTGTCAACTTTGTGTTTTTGGCTGTTTGGCGCCATCTAGAGTCTGAATAATGCGCAGGTTAGTGTGTACTCCATTAGCTGTTTTTGACTGTTTGGCGCCATCTTGTGTCTGAATAATGTGCAGGTTAGTGTATACTCCATCAGCTGTTTTAGATTCTGTCAGCTTTGTGTTTTTGACTGTTTGGCGCCATCTTGTGTCTGAATAATGTGCAGGTTAGTGTATACTCCATCAGCTGTTTTAGATTCTGTCAGCTTTGTGTTTTTGACTTTTAATTAAAGAGTTGATTAGCTTAAAGATTTAATTAAAGAGTTGATTAGCTATTACTGCTCAGAACAATGTTTTGGGTCCAATGTTTATGTTTCGTGGCAAGAAGTCATATAATAAGTTGGATGAAGTACATCCAGGACAATTTTTTTGCAGAATAAAATCATCCAGTCTTATACAACAGTGCTCCGCTTCATGTTGGGTTGCTGATAAACCTGTCAG